TTACTCAGGTAGTCAGAGGAGTTTTGCAATACGAAGTAAGGTAGAGAAACTTGGTTTGAACCCCTTTAAGCAAGCGCGCTTAGGTATAAAGACCTTGGGATCTCAAAATATGGACGAGAAGATATGATATGATATGAAATGTGAAAAGCTCAAATTATTTCTTTTTTTCGGTGTTTTCTCTGGAACACAAAGTTTAAAAAAAATCAGCAAGATAGATCCAGAGAGGTCTATAAATAGATAGCATACTGGAAATTGAGAATAAATTTTCAAAAAGGTTCCTAACTTTACAAAGCAAAGAAATGTTCTCCAAATTTCTACTGAAGTTAAAGTAGGCGGCCAGAAACAAATTTTCCAGGCAATTCAAATTCAAAAAAGTCCAATCTGCTAAGGCTGTGCAATGCTTGTTTAGAACAACTAGTAAATTTTGAAGATGCCAAACCTGCTTTGTTATTCACAGCTCTGTATCGTACCAGCAGACTTTTCCATCCTCACTGGCATTTTCTAGGGATACTTCCGAAATTATCTACATAATATAAATCTTGAAAAGTTTCAGAATCAGAATAATAATAATATTACGCCCGTGCTGGAGTTTCCAAAAAAAATTCAGCTTGTATTTAGTGTGTGGAAGTAATATTTAACGATATGGTATGTTTTTAGAATTGTTTTTTGGAGTTCAAAAGGTATCGATATTTCATTGTAATGCTGGCATCGAAACTTTTACCCTCTCATGGATAGGCGTATTCACAAATCCAAGATAATCTTCATTTGAAGATGGCATAGACAAGACTAACGCTGTTAATTAACAAAATTTAACCTTAAAGATGGGATGGAAATGCCTCACCTAAACTTAGCCGGTATAAACCGGCTGAAACCTTTGTAGGTATTAGTCAGTTTAAAGGCATGGCATTATTCGTTTGATCGGAAGATGACCGCTTCCCAGCTAGAATACCGTTTGAGATGCATGGTATTCTGCATGGCATGGAAAAGTTCTTTTTTGTAGGCAATACAAGATAACAGGGGGTTTCAACTGTGTTCTAGCAATGCTATTTCTGGTGGATCGACTAAGAACACTAACTGTTTCGAGCCAAAGCATAAAGATCAACTTGATGAGGAATTCTTTCGATTCGATCTCTTTGATTTGAAGCATCTGGCTTGAAGTTTTTTTGGCTTCATTGGATATCATAGGTAGTGGAGGGGAAAGTAGGAAGCATGAACTGTCAATGACGCACAGCAAAGGATTTTGCAAAAAGCTATATTGTTTTGCAAATTAGTGTGGAGGGGGAGAGGCAGAGGCGCCGGAAGCTTCATGGTGCGGCGGGGGCAGGATGGCAGAAAGGGCACCTTGAGGTGTCAAAGTTTGCTGATGAAACAGATCGGGAGCGTCGTTTAGTCAATGACGAAGACTGGTTGTTGGTGAAGGCCCTGTCAAGGGGGAGAGGGTCGGTGTCTTGGGGGCTTGGCCCTAGGGAAATTTTGCGTTGCTACGCCCTAAAGACTCTCGGAAACGAAGGCAACACCCAGAAAAATACGTTTGAATCAAGACTATAGTCAAACTTCATTCTTGAATTTCCTTTCACCTCAACATCAACCATCAAATCTAATGGATCCAATTCTACTTTACAATCATACTTAAAACAATATTTTGTTCTGATGACCATCTACATGGCTTGCTATAACTTGTAGTTTTAGCTTTCTTTATTTAAAGTTGGTACAATCTGAGCTTCATTCAAGCTAAATAATGCCAACTAATTTAACTTAACAACGCTAAATATAATTTAAATCAAATATAACTGATGTTGCATACGTATTTCTTGTAAAGATCACAAGTATTCAACGATGAAAATTCAGAGATTTTTTCTTTAATTTTTGTAAAGTTGGTCATTGTACTTATTTTGTTTGGAACTGAGTTCCACATTTGGCTCAATCTGTTTGACAAAGATCTTGAGAGCAGAATGTAGCATATTATTCTATAATTGTTGAAAAGCCTTTACAAAAAGCCTGGCTACAATGATATCGATATCATTTTCTGGCTTAATCGTGTGTAGTGTCGCCAATAGGTTTCGGGGTCCTGCAGCAGAATCGAAAGAGGAGGCCCTTTGCGAGCGAAGCGAGCAGAAAAATCTTGGCGACAATGCCCTTTAGATTACCTAAAAATTCATTTCAGAATATTTTTTGCAGTCTCCTTCTTGCAATTTTTTAAAAAGTTGCACAGTTTTGTTATGTCTTAAAAATTGCTTTCACAAACTGGAATCCTCGCGAGCGCCCTAAACCTCAAGATCCATGGCCAATTTTCCATCACCACCACCTTTCGATAACTCTTGTTGTGAGCTTGTTTTTTGGTGTTTATAAAAGCAGATCGAGAAGAAACATTTTAGACCATCGCCCCAAAAGGTCACCCCTGTGCTCATTTCGTATAGGACCTAAGCAATTCAAGGGCAACTCGGTGAGCTGCAAAGGGGCAGGTAAATTAAATTTTGGAAAAAGGGGGTACATGCCAATGTGCCCTCCAGTTGCTACGCCTTTCCTTGAACTTAAGACATCATCAGATGCCTTAACTGGTATATCGAACATATGCAAGCCAACGTTGGTAGCAATCTGAAATCTCTTCAGCATGATCATGAAAGTTAATTTATCAAAGAAAATATTTTTATTGGTCAAATTGCTTTGCAAATCGATCTTAAGTTCTCATCAAAAAGGAAAATATTGACTATTGTCTTACATTTAGGTATCAAGAGATGCTTGAAACCTAGATTTTATTAGCATTCAAAATATTTATTTGAATTAATATTGCTCGGAAATTAATTTCTTGAAAAGGGCACCCTGCTGCCCCCGTGCTGCCCCCTGCACCATTAGAGTAACTAGGGGGAGGAGGCAAGAACAAACCAATGTTGTATTGACTATGCAAAAGTGTTACCAAGGTAGGTTACCAGGTGCAAAGAAGAGCACAAAATGGCTGTACAGCTGTCGGAGCTGTTGTGAGAGGTGATATGATAGAACTGTGAAAGAACGCCACACGACGACAACATCATATCAGCTGAATCCAGTAGAAAAGACTTTTCAGTGGTTCTGAAAAAAAGTTTTGCAATGCCATGCATTGCTTCTGCAGAGGTACAGTGACAAAATAGTTGTCGAACAAAGAACAAAGAAGATTGTTTCTTCGAATAATTTTGGTGAAGATCGATCACAGGCACTGTCGAAGTCTTGTCACTTAAGATCAAAGTCGCGTCCTTTGCGAGCGTCATCGAATGGTTTTTTTTGAACAATTCTACATTGTGCTTTGAGATTCTGTTTCATTCATTATACCTTATTTCGTCAATACTTACAGAGAGTTGCTTACAGCAGATAAATCTTTCGCCCCAATCGACTGGTACACCGCGCCGAACCTAACAACAGACGGCCAAGTCAATTAGCGATACGCCTCATTATTTACTACGATATTGCATTTTTACGGCCCTTATTGGTTCTTGTTAACGATTTCTTCCATTTAGATTTGATCTTCCATTTATCTTTCCTTACTAAATTGGATTTGTTATGAACAAATTGAAGAGAGATGAGAGCAAGGAACAGGTCCAGTAGACTCAATAATGTAGACTCAATGATTCGTGCTTAGTGGAGCCATAAAGCGAATCCCGGACCACACAGTATTTTGCTAATTCTAGAGTAAAGATAACTTTTGCCTCTCGATAAATCTCCGTTTAACGATAGCTTTGCATAGGCCTATCTTCTGCAGACATCTAAAGAACTAGTTTTTGCGTTTCCTACTTCGCGAAGGATTGCCTTCCAGTTCTTGAAAAGCTTCACAAGATTGGTGCAGATTAATTTAACCAGACCAAAATAATGCCTTACTTTCAGAAAATCCCTTCCAAATCAGAGCTCACTACAGTTTAATCTGCATTTTGGCTTTTTGAGGATGTTTATTTTCGTACCGTGATCGACCCTGGCAGGCTGTTGACGTCACACTATACGAGTTCGTCGGCGGAGTGGAGAGAAACTACGGAATCATGGACAAGTATCATTCCATGTCACCTCAAGTATTCCACATCATATTGAGCACCGATCCAGAAACCGCACCTATAGCCCACTTACAGTCCCAAACTCCAGTGTTTTCGGTTTTTTTGAAGCTCTAAATCCAATCGTTAAAGCTAGTATTACACAGTCACATTTTTCTGCCAATGTTTTACACGTGTGACGTTTTACACGTAAAAATTTTGACGCAACAAGCCAACAGCAATCTCTGCGACTTGCAACGATTTTGAAGACTGGGGATAGTTTGTATCAAAGGCGCCAAATCTAAGATTGTAAAGCAAGTTGCAAAAGTCATTGATTTTTCGAAAAGTATGAATGAGATTTCGTCACTCAGCTGTTGCAGGCGCAAAAAAGACGAAAATGACGGATCGCACCATGTGGGCCAACGCTATCTCAAGATGAAAAGGAAGAGAGATATCTTGAAACGCCAGAGCATAGAGGCAATTATCAGGGCCTCCGACGAAGGGGGCAGCAGGGCCGTGCCCCAACTTTTTTGCAAAACAATAGACCTTTTGTCAAAATCTTTTGTATGGGTGTTAAACTTTCACTCCCCCCCCCCCCCACTTGCTAACCAGTGTCGGAGCCCAAGATTATAAATCATAAATCGAAGGGAACCTTGGTGGGAAAATTGGGCATGGTCAAGGTAACCTTTGTCGAACATGAAGGCAACAACGATGTGGCCAGTTTTCCTTCTTGTAAAATGCTTTATTCGTACTTTTTTCTAAAGCCCCTCTCTCCACAGGTCGGTTCTAAAGAGTGCAAAGAAACGAACAAGTTCCTACAACCATATCAGCAGACTTTTTTGCTGTGCACACCTCCAGGTTCACTGTTTATTGTCCTCACTGTTTGCGAAGGAAAGCGGTTGTTCCAGGCTTTTGGTTCGGGTTTTGTCATCTGTCCCTTCTTTACCTGACTGTATCAATTACGGAGAAAACCGCGCAGAGATAACACCGCTGCAAAGCCCCTTGTGATTGTCCGACGCCATAGTTCAAAGGAACCACCGACTTGCTTGTGACACGCACTCGCAAGCTCAAAGTCCCAGTGGCACTTCGCACACAGGCGCAATAATTCAAAGATAATTGCCGCTATTCCAGTTCAAAGGACGTCATCTTCGTGTTTTAGTGTCAAGACGCCAGTTTTGGTAATGGCGACATGGCAAATGATGGACTTTCTAAACATATCTCAAGGACTACGCTTCAATCAGTTAAGTCGTTAGACAAGGTACAAGCAAAGATCTCAAGCAAACGGACGGTCTGGTTGCACCTGAAGGACCAAATTAGAAGGACGGGGGTTTCTTGTGTTGGCAATCGCTTTGTATGGTAAACACAGGTGTTGACAAAGAGATCTCGCTAAGTGGCAAGAAGCAACACTATGTCTTTTATGATTTCCGATCGAAGGATCGATATGACCAATTAAGAGTTCCGCCACAGTTTGATTGGACGCACGAATCAGTGTTGGCGAAGTCGTTCTGATATGATCTAAGATTTTTGGAAAGACAGCTCTCTTATCAGTCCGGATTAGTATAAACAGAGATCAACGAAGCTGCACTCACTTTGCAGTGGTAAATTGCAGAAGACAGAAGGCTGAAAAAGAGCGCAAATCAGATTGAAAATTTCATATAAGAAGAGAGACCTTGCTGTTAGGTACCGAAACTCTCAGGATGACAGTTGGAAGCACCAAGGTACTGACTACTTCTTTTATTAATTATCCTTTCTGAGTTTTCTTTTCTTTAACACGAAATGCTAGGAAATATCATGGCAACTGTCAATGGTGTTTTGTGAGGCAAAGAGTTTCTGCACCTTATTCTCGATTATTAAGAATCAGAATCTTAAACATTCCAATACGTCATTTATTCATTTATTCATTCATTTATTCTAAAAATGAAAATACTCGCATTCAGTTTGCAATATTTTCTTTGCGTTGTCAGAATTTTTCTGCCATGAAGGCAAAATGGAAAGTGATGTTTCCTGATCATGCAGGAACTAATGATGACTTAAGTGATGTTCAAGTGTCGACCGTCCACGATTTCTGCGGTACCCCGAGCAGATAATGATAAAACATTTTTGATCCGTACTCTTGGCGTCTGATTTCTCTACCTTTTTACTTCTTCAGTTCTTTTCACAATCATAGATAATTTTCCGCGTGACATTTCAGTTAAAGCTTCAGTGACTGAGATAACCTCATTCGCTTTGGAGTTATGATGACATCTCATTAGAATGTATGTCATCGCAACAAGAAATCCCTACACATGTAAGATATTGGTTTACCGTGATTGGTCATTCATTCAGACGACGACTGATTCTGACTTCATGTCGTCTTATCTTATTTCGTGCCGCTCTCTCGTATGAGCAGGTCTTTTCAAAGTCTATTCAAGATTTACCTACATTGAAATATTAATTTTTTAAAGATTTCACAAGTTTTGGCGATTTATAAGTTGCAAGCGGCCTGGCGGGCTCACTCTTTAGTCATTTGTGTAGCAATTATGTCCCAAAAGTTAGAATTTGTACCATAATCTTTGATTCCGCGTTATAAAGAATTTCCCCATTTCTCTAGCTTTGCCCATATTGGATAGCCCTTTTCACTTAAAACATTACGACAGCTCGAGCAAATGTTTTTGATTACCAATATTTACTAATTTTGATTTTCACTACAATCCCGTACATGCACTCTTTTTTTATAAGAACAATTTTATAAGAACATAAGCCTAAAAATTGGTCAAAAGTTAAGAACAAATTAAGAACAAGCTGAGGCTGAGCTTCTACAAAATGCAGTTTTGAACAAAGTTTTTTCTCAAAATCGAGGATTTTTAGCCATGCGTGGGTGCTTTTTTGGTGAATATTCAAACCTGCCTGCAAATGAAGGCTGTCTCACTTACTTTGTTGGCAGATGAAACCTGACTACCTCCCTAGAGCGAAAAAGCTAGCCTTCGCACTGATTACACCCTATTAGATTAAGAACAAATTAAGAACAATCCAGCTTCAGATTTTCGAAAAAAAAGGACAGTCAGTCTGAACTTAAATTTCCTGCTTCTTATAAAAAAGTGTACTTCCAAAAAAACTTTCTGTAACATCGTGTCACTGAACTCTCTCTTGTGGTTCCTCTGACTGAGTAATAAAACAATCCTATTTTCCAAATTCTATGTCCCAGAGAAACCTCAGAGTTTTGAGGAACTCGCATGATATGTGTTTGACCAACAGAGTGAGGCTGCCGGGGCATGCAGGGACACAAGAAAGACCTTGTTTGCACTTTATTTTGTCTCAAGAGTATTTCCACATATGTACATCTTCACAAAGACGTTTCTATTGAGATTAAGCTTTTGATTTCATAAGTTATTCCAGGGTCCTTAAATAACAGCTTTAAAATACAGTACTAATTGGATGTCTTGGTCTCAAACCACCATTTGCTAGGGTTTTGCGTCACACGTGTGGTGTCCAGAAAAAGTTACGGTTCCATTGCTATGAGCCTGAAGAAGGTTATTCAAAGCTGCAGTAGTTTTGAGGAAGGCCAGTGCATAAATTGACAAGATCATATGAAGGAATACGAATTTACCGTTTTTTGTTTGTTTTTTCCTTTTTTCCTGACAAAGCGTAGAGACCAAACCATTGATCAGTTAACTTAAATTCCAGTTCCAAGAAACTTACCGATTTCCTGGCTCTGATTCTTCAGATGTATTAGTGTTTAAGCTCGCTTTCAAAAGTAGTAAACTATGCCCCCAGCTGAGTTTCCCACTCTGCTACTAGCCTGGGGGCTTACGCTCAGGGAGACCTTTCCAGGAAGCACTCTTGAGCTTCTTTGTAACAATATCGTTTGGTTTTATTGCTAAGAATCGAATGTAAAGTATCTGACGGCAACAGAGTATTGCTAACTCTGTCTCAATTATATTCTTTCAAACTTATTGCTCCACTCGAGGAACATATCACTCAAGGAAACTCGTACCCCTTTAGGAAGAACCCTTTGGTTTTCGAGAAAAATCCACAGAAAATTCGCAAAAATCCTTTTGTTCTACGAAAATTAGTTCACTGCTTGGAAAGAGTGATACATCCTTCTTGTGATTTACTCTGATCTCGTGAAAGTGGAATCTACAACTCCAAGGAAAAGAGGAACACGCTCACCCTAGTCAACTCCTTGCTGACGCTTTTGATGTCACGCAAAAGCAGCTTTATCTGCGACGCCCGCAAGATTATGTTATTATGCAAAGTCTGGCAAATATCTTACTGGTTTATCAATGAAAATAATTTGCCCAACGAAATGACGCTTTCTTTATTAGCCGGATTATTCTTGCCCGTGAAATTACTTAAGTCCTTCTGTAGAGTACATCACTGCATTTTTGTGACAATTCATTGTTGTTAAAATGACACCTCGAAAGGTATTATGTCCCAGTTGATATTTCTGAACTTTAGAACATATGAAGTGTCAAGTGATTTTGATTGCTATGGCCAGGGTCATAATTTGTTAATGAAAGCCGGCCAAATTTGTGGTTTCTTTTTGCACATCCAATGTGTCAAAACCTATGTTTAGCTTTCGAGATCTTTATTAATAATCGCTTCTTTGTTCGAAATTTGATTTAGTGCTTTCTTGCATTTGAATTGTTTGAACTAAGCAGCTGAGAAGAGCTTAAACAACGAAAGATGAAAGAGCTACTCTTTGCGGAAAACATAGCAGAGTTTCAATGTAGTGCAGGACGAGGTGCAGGATCATAGACCGTGACCTGAAGACCAAAACCTTTAAATTGGTAGATAAAATGTCAACCAGAGACTAGAATCGTGGTTGTCTCACGTTGGAAGACAGCAAAGAATGACATGAAAAGTTTAAGTGCTACATCCTAATCCCGCCTTGCTTTATCGTTAAGAAAGTTTATCCAAGGATAGTTTTTGCAGTATTTCTCATTCGTGTTTAGGTACCAAATGATTGCAGCAATTTGTGTTCCAGCTATGGCAAAGAGAGTATTTCTTGTAAGCAAATCTATTCTCCTCACGTCCATTTGCCACATTACTGCATACGTTTATAAAGAGAAACAAAGATGCATTCTCATGATAATTGATTTTCTTCTTATAAGTGTTTCCAATCAGAAACCTTTTACAGCGAGGAAATTACGCAGAAAAAACGTCCCTTCGCTAAGTTGTTTAGCATTTTGATGAGGTTGGTCTGGCAGTTTTCTTGGGTTCAGCTGGTAACGAATGCTCATTTTTTGCAACAAGTATCCATTTGCGCCTAGTTTTGGCAGAAAAGTTCAGCACAGACCATTTAATGTCTCTTATGATTACAATCTTTGCTATTCTATTGGTATAAAAAGACTTGCAGTCCTACCCTACCTCTCCTCTCCCATCTGGACATTGGTTTTAAGAGCTGGTCAAACGAATAAAAGGTCATCGTTTACGATGTTTTTATGATGTTTTACGAAATTTATTTCTATTAATCATTTCTTAAAATATCTCTTTTTTTCTCATGTTTGATCAACAATATTTCGTTCGTTTGGCCACTCCTTGTAACACTTCTTTACTCGCGCAAGCGCAGTATATGACTCGGCAAATATAACGTCATAACTGTACGAAGCTTTGAGGCAGCGCTTGCCCATCGCAGAAGTTTAGACGTTTGTTTGATTCGTTGACCATGTCAAATATTGTCCAAAAAAATTAATAAAGATAAGTTGGATGATTTTTAAGGATGTTTCATTCGTTTGGCAATGCTTTTAGACAATGTCGATTTTATTGAACCTTCTCCACATCTACATTGGATTTGGTCACCGTTTCCTGATCGCCTCTAACAGAGGAAATCACGCATTTTTCCGAACCATTACAGCAGCTTTCTCCAACATTACCTGTTCCTGTTGATTTCAGTTTTTAAATGCTTCGTTCATTCGTCAGCTATAAATTAATATAAGAATATTGAGGCTTCAAATTTTGGGAAATTCAAATATTGAGCATGAATGATAGCCAAACTAGAGTTTTTCAAGCAAACAAGACAATCATGGCTTTAAAGTTTGAACTATGGTGATCATTTCTTCCTGCTGTCGTGGTTTTGCCTATTTTATGAGGTTGCCCCCATGATCCCCATAGCCCCCATGATCCCCATAACCCCCATGATCCCCATAGCCCCCATGACCCCAAAGACCCCAACCACTGTTAGAACGAATACAGTATCTGTTAGGCGTCTGTCAGGTGTATGCACATGTAGCCACGGTTTTTCTTTCTATATTTTTTCAACAACTTGCCCACACGTGACAATTTTTCGTAACCAAAGCGAAAAGACATTAGCAGGATAAACATCAAGTAAAATTGCTTATGCAACACTTAGCGGCGATTGGGCAGAAATAAATGTTGTAAGCTGTAAAACTAATCTGACATTGCTAATAAAATTATGTTGAGGAGATTACAGGGGAATGAGTGTTGCCACGAAAGTGTCGATTAAAATGCGTGTGAGTTGAACACTTGGATTAAACTCACGTTTTTAAGCGTCCTTGCACTCTTTTTTATAAGAACCAGTAAATTTAAGTTCAGGCTGACTGTTCTTAATTTTTTCGAAAATCTGAGGCTGGATTGTTCTTAATTTGTTCTTAAATTAAGAGGGTGTAAGCGGTGCTATTGCTAGCTTTTTCGCTCTAAGGAGGTGTTCAGGCCTCATTTGCCAACACAGTGAGTGAGACAGCCTTAATTTACTGACAAATCTGAATATTCACCGAAAAAGCACTCACACATCGCTAAAATTTTTTGCAGAAGCTCAGCCTCAGATTGTTCTTAATTTGTTCTTAACTTTTGACCAGTTTTGAGGCTCGTGTTCTTATAAAATTGTTCTTATAAAAAAAAGAGTGTATTTGTTTATTGACCCTGTGATCTCTATTGCTTTTTCGAACTAAGGCGAGCTTTTCACAAATATCTTTACAAGCTACAGAAGCTACAAAAAACGAATATATCTTTACTTGTGTACCCAGTTCTTTTGAGAATACGACCCCTTGACAGTTGCATTGCTGAAAAATGGTAATGTTTTTAGCAGGATGGATAGAAATCATTTTCTTAGAATTAAGAAGCAAACACTGTGCAACATGCATGGTTGTTTACGTACAGATCAGTACTGAAAGCTTAGTTTTGCATAACACGTTGAAAAACACAGCTAAATGACTATAGTCGCTTTCCCCTTTTGATCTGCAGCGATCACCAAAGCTTTCTTAATTTTTCGGAGTTCCAGAAGTGGTTTATCGGAAACTGAATTTTACAGCTTTGCGGATCGTTATAATGAGCAAAACCCGCATCCTTTCTTTTAACTTGTCACCATTAATTTGGGAGAAAATGAAGTACAGGATTAGGACATGATAATCATTTTAGAACTCATCTTTGCGTCGCCATGCACATATCCCCTAGAATACGAAGTAATACTCTTGTATTTTCTGTTAATTAGAAAATGAAAATCTTGCTGTAAGAACGACTTAATACTGATGTCTCACTGCCATAGCAATATATTCACATGTGAAAAGAGAAGAAATATGTATTGTTAAATTTACAGTATTTATAGCTCAAATTTCAGACGACATAACCACATCAATTCGGCATTGTGTCAAGTTAAAATGGCTGAACAAAGGAGTTTGATAGCACAGAACCCAGTTACTCTTGTATAGTAGTAAATGAACATGGAACGTTAGTGTTTAAAGAACCTGCTCATTTTGGCCGAGACTCGATGCTCTCTCATTTTTTTGGATGATCTGAGGCTCCAGTGTTTTAAATGGTGTTCTTCCTTTAAAAGTGACTGTTCTACAACTGCAAACAACATATTGTTTACAAGACCTCCAAATAACATTTCTTCATGACATTTATATTGGCAAAGTTGATTGGCTGAAAAATCTTCTCTATTTTGCTAACATGAGAGTAAATTTACAAACTGCCCCATAAAATCGTAAAGCTTTTTAGTGCGTTTTTTGATAAAAAAAATGCTATCAACTGGAGCCCCCCCTCCCCCCTCCCACATTTGTTTGCACCGTCCTTGTCTTATTTTTTGACCAATCGAGCTTGTTCTTTTGAAGTGTGTTCTTATAAAGAAATCAGGAGTGGATGTGCTATTTTTGTTTTTGGCTTTGGATGTCTTGAATGCTTTCGTTCTTAAAATTTCATTCTGTTGTTTCAGTTACACATGTTTTGGATATTTTGCCTTGCGCTGGTATCAACGACAGCTGGCTACTTAGGCAGTCGCTTTGACCCACGCTACTCACCATGCAGCGAAAGCTTGCCAGAGTCACAACGCTTGAGGAGAAACTGCTCGCCTCTCAAACCGATGTTGCTGCACTACCTCAAGAAATCAGTATGCAACGATGGCTCAGTGGCAGGGTGAGGATTCTGTTATTTTCTCCAGTACGATTTTAATCATGATTATTACCATGATTGTGGATCATTACTGTTTTTCAACAGTCATTGACCATCATCAACCAATCATCACCACTATGATTTTCATCGATAGTCGTGATCACCATCTTCTACATTTAAATTAACATCAACCATTATCAATCAGTCAATATCATCTTGATCAACATGATCATCACCAATCATCAGCATGATTATCAATCACTCGTTACCATCTTGATTATCATCAGCGCTATGATCACTATAATCATTATCACTCATCACCTTCATCAGTCGTCGTGAAGCATAGCAATATGCTTACATTACTTTTACAATAGTAATATAAAGCCTTTGATGTGTATTGATTCATTTTAATATAATTGCTATTTTAGATATTACCTCAGAAGAAGAAGTGGAAGCACAAACTGGCTTATATATTTAGAAGGTATGATATTCGAAGCACTCTCTGGTTTACTGAATAACTATAATAAAAACTGTCGAAACAAAGCTTTTAATTTGCGTGTACATCATACGCAGTGTACTCGTATCATTAAGCCCCTATTGTTGATATCTACTATTAGGGAAGTCTACTATTACCCTAAAAATTGTTTTTGCTAAACGAGCAACGTTTCAAGAAGTTGGTGATTCAAATTTTGAAATGTTAAGATTGTAATATTTATCGTATGTTCACTATCTATGTGGCCTGAGACTCTCACCTTTACTAACTCTCGTGACTCTCTTTTGTGGAGAAAGAATTCCAATCGTTATTCCTAAATTAGAAGATTACTCAAAATGAAATTGTGGCTGGATGAAGACAAGGGTAAATTGATGTCGTTTCAATTCAGTCCTGTAACTGCTTTAAAGTGACCTGTTTCTAATTCATATGCCTTGAGATAAGATCATATTTAATCAAGAGAGATGATGGTTTGAGTAACAACCTAGTTTGTTGGCAGGCCTAGAAACACAAACATACGACAATCATATCCTAATTTAGTTAAGAAATCAACTTAAGAAATCAGTGTAACTGTATTTGATAATTCATACGCCATTTCGTGGACACCAAGCCATTATACCCAGGGTTTAACCAGAACAAAGACGGACAGATATAAGCGGACTGTTAGACCTCAATCTGTCTGTGATAATCTGCATTGCAGATAAATCGATGTTCTACTTGTGTGTAGCAATGTCCTTTTATATTGAAGTTCATTCCAATCAGGAACATCAATATTCGGTTCGCTAAAACCCTTTAACAGTAACATTTTGGACATTAATGTCATCACCTTTTCACGAACTAAAGCATTTCCGGATTTTATTCGGACTACTATCGTATATCGTCATAAGGGTAAACAATCAACGCTATTTTCTTGAACCACGAAGTTTGTTTTGACTTGAAAAGCTTTTCAGGGAAGGGCAAAATTTTGGCATTCTATTGCAAACATTTTCATGTAAATTGGTTTTTATTTTCAAACTGAAATGTTTCTGCTTTTCATACATTTATTACTCCATGGATGCATCACCACACAAAAAGCTAAGAGATAAGCATAGCAATTTCTTCGAAGTGCACAAGATTCGTTTGCCACCTTCACACCCCTATTTCCGCTAGAATTCAACATAAGTGAACCTAGTGGGTCTTCTTTGCATGTTTCTCTTCTTGCTTCTTTATCCGTTTTTATTTCCCATCCGTTTTCTCATCCGTTCTTTTTTACGAATATTTCGACCCAATGTACAGGCAATTCGCTAGCTGGTATCCACTTTAGAAAACAAACTCCCTCTGAATGAAACAATCTGGATTCCTTGTTCTTTTGTTTTCAGGAGGAGGCTACTGCGTCAATAAGGAGACATGCGCCGAACGGCTGATTATGTCGAAATCCAAGAAGTTCTCTCTTGTTTCAATTCGCGGCTCTTCCAAAAAGAAATTTGGTATGTTCTTTTACCACGTGCAAAGTGGCCGCAATTATTGCCGTCTTTGATTGCCTATGGAAAGTATCTTCCACTAGGTAATATGTAATAGTAATTGCCTATTTGTCACTGAAAACTTGAATGAGAAGTTAGATGAAAGTGAAACAATGATTGAATTGATTCATCACTATCACTTAGTATTATCACTTGATCAGAACGAATGACATATATATGACCACATCACTCCTACTGTCGGCTGATACCTAATGGATTTTATTTTCATAGCAACTTGATTGATTTTCTCTTGCAGTGACGGGTATCCTATCCACACAGCTGAAGACGAATCCATTATGGTGGAACTCCAATCACGTGTAAGTGAGACGAATATTTCCTCTTGAAAATTCTCCATGCTCCCAAAGGATAGAATCAGCAATTAATTTAACTAGATTACATTTACTAGTCCAGAAAAATCAGAATTCATTCATTTTAGGCAGGACTTGCTACATTCTTACCTGATATTGATAAACCTTCAAAGGAAGTGTTTTTAAGCGACAAAAAAAAGAAATATTGATACAACTGAAAATTCTCCGTTGGCAAGATAACTGATTGTCATTGCGACTCATAAGCAAGTGAAGCGACAAAAAATCATCACTTAAGTCTAACCTTGCCGTTCTCCGTTCCATTCACTGATGGCTTTGATAAAATTGTAAGAAATATATTTCGATTTCACAGAAGAGATAATTATATTTTTCCAGTAGTGATGACAAATCCCTTTTAACATGTCGAATCAAACAATTTTCCTTCGGAGTCTTTATAAAATTTCAGAACATCATCATATATTGTCTGTGTAATATCACGCGAACATTTATATTTTTATAAAAATGAACAATATAAACATGAGAGTTTATGACCTATGCCTGAAATTTTAAGGCCGTTACAAAGTTTTACTGCAAATCTTAATGGGAGTTTTCTACCACTTCATGCAAAGATTTGGAAACTTAAAAAACTTGCTAAGTAAACGACAACGTTCTCATTTTTACCCCAGCCGGCATTCATCTTGCATTGTTTGTCTTAGTAGAAAATGCGACCAGAGCAGAGAATTTGCGCTAAAGAATTCTCAGCCCTAGCAATAGAGTAGCCCTTTCACTAAGTAGCCACAGGATAACCCTACTTTGCATTTAAATACGTCATTGGAAAAAAGATAGGATTAACCCAGAAAAAGGGTTTCCTTACTGCTAGGGGTAACCTAAGTAGTTCTGAGGTACCCTATCACAACGTGAACAGACCCTTATTTTTTACTTTGATTTCTGTAATCTTTCTCTGTAGAACCTTCACCGCTTTGGCATGTAAGCTTAGAATTTCTCAAGATGTGCTCAAATTTGTCCGCTTAATTATTGTTATCTGCATAATACCATGTAGCAGCTTTGTTTTATTCTTGTTAGGTCTGTATAAGATGACAATAAAACTTCTCATCTACAATTTTGTCTTCCACAGGTACATTCCATATTGCTCAAGTGATATTTGGACCGGCAACAAAACCGCGGATAAGAAAGGTAAGTCTCCTGCTTGCCGGCTTAATACTTCAATTTGCCTTGCTCATAAGCAGCATAAAAGCTAGCGACGGCGCTGGAAGAGACTGCAGAAGAAAATGAATAAATCAATATTTTACTATCCGATGATTTCATATTTTAAAAAGAGTTACTCAGTAAAATTGTAGATAGAATAAAATTGAAAATCGCAAAAAGCTACAAACCGAGCTATTTAGATGGCAACTTTGAGGCAATTTTGAGCTCTCCGTATACACTCTCCTCTCTGTATAGGCCTCCGTCTAAAAGCTGCCTACATTAGTAAGCCCCCGGGGGGTGCTAATTCTGGGATTCACGGTATTCTAACCGGGGATTCTTTCTTACTGAAAACTCTGTTTTACCAAAAGGATATTTTTCATACCTTATGACAGAGTAGCAATGTTAGCTTAGATGCAGACTTGCTGTTGCAGCTGGGGGCAGGAGCCAAACAAACTGCTATTCATCTTGAATATCATCGAAAATTTCTTACTATCGACATTTTAGTTTGGCTAGCATTCTGTTATTTGCATATCATTCCACCGCATTACTCGATTCAAGAATAAAGCGAATGATTTATTTCGAAAACGAAAATATCAATTATAGGCTTCATGGAATAATCTGTGATGAATGTACTGCTAGAGTTTCTTATTATGAACAATTTCAATTTAGGTGGATTCTCATTCCTTGGCGCTCGAATAATTGACGAGGTCGTCAGTGACTTGTATGTAAATAGAGGGTTAGACAAAGGCACAAACCTGACTTTGGCTGGTAGCAGGTATGTTATTTCATGCAACTAAAGTCAATAAACGGTTTCAGTGGAAAATAGGTATTGCGGGAGAAAAAATAAACTGGCAAAAAATCAATGCTAAGTCACTGGTGTAACTGGTGTGAGAGTAAGAACAGGTTGGGTTGGGGGTTTTGCACCTGATGAATAAACTCAATTCGATTAGTTTTAATTGATTGCTTCAATATGAGAAGTAAAATAAGTCTATGTCAAATTGTTGTGACTGAATTGCCAATTGTTATTAACAGCTTTTTCAAAAAGCCCAATTATTCTGAATTAAGAATTTTTGAACTTTAAAATTTCTTCATAGGTATTTCAATTCTCAAAAACTGCCATACATGCAAACTTTACGTGACTAAATATCCTGTCTACTTCCTTGAACTACCGAATATGCAGATGATACAAGTATTCAATTTTCTGAAGAATCCGACAGAACATTTCCCATTGCTCGACATATTCTTCAAATGTTCATTTGATTGCTACTCTTCCAATTTATAGCGCTGGTGGCACTGGGGTTATGCTCAATATCGACAGAGTTGCCGACAACCTGAAGGAAAAGGGCTCAAAGATTAAAGTCCAGGGCATTGTTGATTCAGGCTGGTTCTTGGACAATGATCTCATCAAATCTTTGAACTGTGGCTTGCCAAATGGACATTGCAAGCCCAGTGACGTCATCAAGGCAGCAATGAAGTTTTGGCATGCTGATTTGCCAGCGCGGTGCATCTCTGGCAAAAGTGTAGACAAGCATCATCTGTGTTTGTTTGGAGACAAGTTGTATCCTACACTGAAAAGTAAGTCTTGCTTCTGCATTTCTTTACCATGCGTTTTGTGATCAAATTATATATGCTACATTACATAAAGGGCTTCCATAGTTTTTATTAACCATGTATTCACTGTTAAGTTTAAAAATTTGAATGTAAATTTATCAGAGAATTTTTGTACGGGTTTTTCTTGGGGATAAACTTTGCCTGTGAGTCTCCGCTTGCACTCCCGCCAAACTCAAAAATCTGTCTATTGAATTTTTTCCAAGTGAAATAATTGCAAATGTTTTTCAGCTGACGGGTTATGAGAGGCCTACGATTGTAAGAAATTTTGTTCTTGCTATATCAGTCAGTACCAATTCCTGTTGAGGATCCTCTCTACTCTCTTAAAAGAGAATATGTACTTTATCAACAATAAATGCATGGATTCATTTACTACTTTGCGGTTGATCATAATAAACTGCACAATGTTGTGTGAAAATATTGAAAAGAATAGTTCCAGTTTTCTTGATATGATCTTCTTATTTACTTTGTTTAATTTTCATGTTTGGCATCTTCGCTTGAATTAACGTTTTTGTGAACCTTTGTTCCATCTAGGCCCAATTTTCGTCATTCAGTGGATTTACGACTTAGCCCAAATAAAGGAGGACAATCCAGAACTGGAGAGTAGCCTCCGCATGCTCATGAGAAAACAGTACGGTCCATATATGGCATATCTTGGAAAAAGAGTTCGAGAGTCCTTGAACATTGTCAAGTGAGTTATTTTGGCTGGGGTGATTGATTCTTTACAACCGTGATCTTTTTTTTATTTTGTTGGAGCAAGGTGGCCTAAGGACTGCATTCTTCAGTTTATTAATGTTGGTCACCACCCGAAATTTTCTCCACCGGCCCTTCCAAAACTCTTGTTTTTTGTTTGATATTGTTCCAGCCATTTTTAAACAATTTTTTTTGCTTTCAGGCACTTCTTCGCCCCATCCTGCCTCGGGCACACGATTTTGACCAGAGAGTGAGTTAAATTGTCTATTATTTATTGTTACTTTTTATATCAACGGCTATGCGGCTATGTGAAAAAAGAAACGTATATACGAAGGTAGAAACTACTGGAATATCATTGCTTTGTTCCTTCGAACGTCTTCTGATAAGCGCAGTCGATTGACTTTCATTTTCGATACTGATCACATGAATTGTTTGTTAGCGTTGCAAAAAAATCAAAGCAAGTAGAATTGATCACACGCAAAATCACGTGAAAATCAAACTAATATTAAGCGCTTTAAGCTACTTACATTTGAATGATAAGGGTCATTTCTCTTTTTACCCTCTCCTTAATAAATTACTTCTCTTTTTGAATGTTCCTCGCGTAGCAGTCTGCATCTTCCCTGAATTGTTTATGAAATTGAGGCTTGACAACAAGTGAAATCCCTAAACCCTCAAAGTAAAAAGGCCAAGGCCAAATGCTGAAACATTTACATGCATTTTTATGTACGAAACTGGCTATGCAAAAAGCGAGCCCGTTATGAATAAGAAATTAAGTTACCATATTTCTGATTGTCCGCAACCTACAAAATTGCTCGAAAATCTTTCTTTTTATGACAAAGTCGAAATGATGATTTTCACGATTAGGCCTCCCAAGTTTCCGGTTCAATTACTATAGATAATTCCAGATTAAGAAATATTTGTCACTTTTTTAAATTGATGTAACTTTTAATGTATTATTTTCTTTCTCGAACAGACAATGGCTGGGAACGCGGGTAGGACCTCGGACGCTTTTTGGAGCACTAGAGTGCTGGCTGTTGAAGAAACGCTCATCTTGCCAGTTTACCGACAAATGTCAAATGCCACATTGCAGTGACTCCTGCCCATACAAAATAGAAACACACAATGGGGATATCCCGATTCGAAGAATCACTGGTGATTTTAGTTTGTAAATTTTGGATGGCCTCCCCTTCCTGAGCAGACAGAAAGGGCAGAAGCAAATGCAACTTACTGTACGTTCGCAAGAAAGGAAGGAATTTCCCGTGCATTTACTTCATATAATCGTCTCGAACATACAATCGCGGTGAACTGACTACAAAGTTTTGACAAGAAGGCAAAATACTGATGCTGATATGTAGAGGCTATCAACACGCAGGAAACGAATTTTCCTGGCTTTTATGTCTTATTTGTGTGGAATATGTAAAAACAGTTTTTGTCTTTTATATCAATTTATTGTAACATGGTAATAGTACAGTATTTTATATCCTATTTATTAAATCTTGGCATATCTACTGTGGTAATTGGTCATAGAAAATTGAAGGCAATTCTTTCACAAATGTCTGCGTTACTGCAAGCAAGGGTGCTATGCCATTTTGACGTAAACTGGAAATGTTGTTTTGATGTTACAGGCACCACGGAGCAGGGGGGCTACCAGTGAAGCCTCTTTTTATACGGTTTTAGCCCCCCCCCCACTTTTTGTAGACCCCCACTTTTCTCAACGCTCGCGGTGAGATGATGTCTTCAAAAAAGAATGTGTTTATATGAAAACTGTTTTTGGAAATGACGGAAATCTCAGTTCGACTGCAGCCAGCAACAACAAGACTCAATGTGTCATGATAACGGAGGTTTTGCCTCAAAATTGAATAGGGTTGTTGCAATGAAGGCATTATAGACTCTAACTAAGAAAGTTTGGTGTTTTGTTAATGAATCCTTCTATATTTAACCATTGGAGTGGGAGACAAAGGGGTTGAGAGGACTGAAGCCCCCAAAACAGGCAAGATTCATTCATTTCAGGCTCCATTCGGACAGTGCTATCTTAATAGACCATCTCGGAGTTCGTGACGTCATGATGGAATTATATTGTTATATAGCTAGTTCCAATCCCTCAGATGAAGGCAACCAGCGAAAAATAACGTTATTCTATTTATTTGGCTGTGAAACCTCTTTAAAATAGAGGAAAAATAGTTTTAGAATTAAAAATCTGCATTTCGTTGATTAATGATGGACTTTGTTTGAGCAACTGGGGAATTAACAAATCTCGATGATATAGGCCGCCATTGTATTTATTGCGGTGTTGCCCCACTTGTGTCATGACGTCGTGAACTCCAAGATGGTATATGAAGCAACGTGAAGCATCCACTACGCCAGTGCAGGTAGGCCAAGGGAGCTAAATTATTGATCAACCTGTCAGAAGCTTTTGTTAAATGAAATTATTGGCCATATTTTGAGATTCGGAAACTTGGCTTGCAGCAAGGTTTTTCAGAATGCTCGTCTTTAAACTAGTATTCACATTTTCGTTATAGTCTCGTAAAAGGAAACGAGGCTGTTTAATATCATAATGATGTATCACCAATGATATATGGAAGCGCTAAAGGCGCTAGATGTCTAACTCACAGGTACGCTGTGAGGCAAATTTGTTTACTTCTGCCATTTTGAATAAGGGCAAAGCTTACTCCATACTGAACCCTTATAAATTTGGTAAAAGTAAGGATTGATTTCGTTCACTTCTCTTTCGAATATCGATGTGAAATTTGGTGAGTGGCCTTATACTGCACTTAAATTTATGAATTGATGTTAATTTTGGAAATATAAGCCGTCATTCGCAAATTCCAAGTATTTACAGTCGCGGTGCTTGCTGTGGTCCAGAGTGCAAAGCATTTTTTGTGCGCGGGGAATTATTTTCTGTCGCTTACGCTTGCGCGGGAGAAAAATCATGTTGCAAAGTAACAGGTTTTAAAGCTGCAGAATTTCATTTTTAAATAGCATTTTGAGGCTCGAGATTAGGCTTTGGGCGGAATTCGCACGAAATTCCATGTTCCAACTGCGCGGTTAATTCTAAATTTGCAAAAATGCGCGGACGGGAACGCATTCCCCGCACTTACCCATACTTTGCAGTCTGGGCTGTGGTGTTTTCTGTATCGTCGAAATTCCAGAAAATATTAATTGGTCTGTCTTAAAACGGATCCAGCAACACTTTTTAGCTACTGAATGCATTATTTTCTTAACACATTTGTACAAAGATGTGATTTAGTTACTTTTTCTTTCTTGGTTAACAGAAACAGCTATGAAATATCTAGGCCTTACTCTAGAAAAAGCCGAAAATAGGTCATAATTCAAGGCTTGGATTTCAATAACAGAATTTAAATATAGCAACGAATTTTTTAAATTTGATACAATTATTAGACTATTTCAAAACCACACTCGTTGCTTGTAATTATTTTTCAGCACAGTGTGTCCCTCCCCCGTATCTTTAGCCCTATAAAATACCTTCGAGGTACATTCTCACGACAAAGATTACTAATTTGGCCTTATCAAGAAGAAATAAATTTAATTCATATCAAATTTCATTTCTACAAATTTGACAAACTAAATATAAACAATTCGCACTTTCCTTCTCATGCCATATTAGGTTCTAAACGACTGACAGAAAAATTCAAGAATTATATATTTAAAATGGTCTATATTATAAGATAATAGACTCAAAAAGTTCTTTCTAATTTGTATGAAGATAAAAATTGCAACAACATACTTTTTCAACTAATAAAAACACCACAGGCCACTGCTATTTTTCCACCGTAACTGCGTAAACTAAAAGAGCCAAATTTTCTAAAATTCTGTTTAAAAACCCCAAAAAATTGTTATTTGTTGTTGATTTATATCTCCTCTAACTACCTGCATCAGAAAAGACACTGAAAAAGTTGCGAGCCACGAGAAAATCATTCATTAAAACAAGCAATTTTCCATACTGACTACTTAAAATGGCGGAAGTAAACAAATTTGCTTCACTCGGCAGTACGCAGCTTCACCCGAGTTAGGCATCTAGCGCCTTTGGCGCTTCTATATCATTGTGTATCACTTGATCAATTCGGAAAGAGGTTCATTAAGCATTCAACGGGTGTTCACTCGTGCGATCAAGTAGCCATTGAATCTCAGAGGTAGAAGCAAACTAAATCACATTTAAAAAAATTTATTCTATAATCAAAAGTCAAGAATAAAAATAATTGCAATTTTCTTTATTTTCATTTAGGTACTTTACCTTTAAATATTTTGACAATCAGAGTTGAATCGGGAACGTCAAACAAATCGATGTGAAAGAAGGTGAATAACAGGTATGTTCTCGTATCGTAGTAAATCTATGCGTGATATAGCTGTCGTAACTAGGAGGCCGATAGCAAGCGGCACAGTGTACAGCTCGCAGTCAAGAATACTCCAAAACTTTTTTAGGCCCAAAATCATAGATAGTTTTATAGCCTCCAATAAACCTCTGTAACAAGAGTTCTATGTGAACTTGCAACATAATCAGGACAAGATTCATCATGGACTAGAGTTGATTTTGCATTTATTTGAAGGAGAACGTTGTTTCTATATAAATAAGTCATGATTTGTTTCTCAATGAAGACTATCCTTTCATTTGAAGTGACGTGGTCAATGAGCCTCATCCCCCAACATTTTAGCAAACTTACACATAGTTTGTGCAAAAGAAAAGAGCTACCAACTTATTTTCAAATCGCATTCTACCTACCAATTCTTTCAAAGCTAAGAAGTTGATAGCAATAAAAATATCATGTATCAAAGATGGAGAAACAATTATTGTTTATGGTTTTATCAGGCAGAAAATCTAAAACATATAGATTTTTGAAAACTAGAAATGAGTTCAAAAGAAACTGTGACTATAGCGTTTAATGAGAAAATTGTAACTTTCTAGACAAATTTTAAGGTTATCGTTGCCTTATTATGGTGACAATGTACAGATAGTTGACGCATTATCGAAATGTTATTCTCTTTCAGAGCATCAACAGAGAGGCTGATGAAATGGCTTTGCATAAGGTGGGTTTGAAAGCTCTTAAATGCACTATATATGCCAAATCAAATAAATGTACGACCGTTTATACTATCATGACAAGAAATGTAATAATTAATTGTGGTTTCCATCTTGGATTTCTGTACCAACTTAATTTGAATCTTTCCCTTATTCCCAAAGACTGGTATACAATTTTTGTTTGAGTGCAGCCCTGATAAATAAGTGTAATAACAGCCATATTTTACCAAATGAAAGTATTTTGCATATGCCCCTGGTATCTTGGTCCTTGCTTATTTCCTTTTTGTATATTGGATTCAATAATTTTTCCAACAAGGAGAGGGGTGTGCACATAGATATTCGGTGGATCAGTTTGAGGAATATCAGTTTTTCTAAACGTTATACCTAAAAATACCAGAATGCTATTTCCTTCTTTTTCGGGATCCAAAATTGCATCCCGAGAAATACAAAATCGTGCAAACCAAAACCTGAAAGTCTGATACTTCTGCTTTTGTTTACTTTTTATTGTTGTTAGAAGAGCTATACCAATTTTGAAAAAAACGAAACTGTTCAGGTCCTTCCTTCAATTGTTTCGGCTTTCGCTTTTCTCCCCGCTCGCCATCAACATAAAGTTTTCTGTTCGCCTTTCCGAAGCGGCCGCTGGGAAGGAGCTTTTTACAACTACAGCAACAATTTTCAAACACTCCCGCCATTTTCATTTTGGTAATGCCAGGTCTTCTGTGTTGTGAGACGTAAGTTTGATTTACTTGCATCACATTTGTTTACAACTGAATGATTCAGCAGCTGTTCAGGACTTTGCCTACATTCGTATTTCCAGATAGAGCTATAATTTAGGCATCTCCCTTTACACGCAAATCACTTGCTAATGATGATACGGCCTACGTCTGCTGTTGATGGAAAACGATGATGGTCAACGGCCTTGTCCTATGTCTACTGAACTTAGGTTCATCTTAAAAAAAAAAATGCTGAAAAAATTTTCCGGCTTCACTATTCCTTAGAATTTTTTTAGGCCCGAATATATTTGTAGAGTATTCTTATTTTTCAAACCTGATATGGTTCAGGGGAACACCATCCGCTGTCGAATAGAAATCATGCTTTTTGAAAACGAAATGTGTCAGTCCTACCATTCTCGATTATAAACCTCACAAATTAGACAACTGTTGTAATAATGAGACAAAAATAAGCAAGCTAAGAGGCTGTGCAATACTCTTATACTATTCTTTAAAATTGGATGATTCTTATCCTTAATATTCTTATAAACAAGATTCATAAATGTGAGAGTCTAATTGAATTTCCAAACGAATGTCGCACGCTAAATAGCGCAACCAATTTGTTTGTGGCATGGTATAAATATTCTTTTCCAGTTACTTTATCGTATTAAACAACGTGTGAAACTAAAATTTGCAGTTTATAACCGACAATCTCTGCATCAAAGTGTGTTGACAGATCGGCCTATTCTATGCTCAAAGTTTTTGCACTGGTTCAAAAAATTGAGTAATAAGGACAGTGTTGTAGACAATATGGTCATCAAAATGTGAACTACTTTAGCAAAGTCATTGGATGTCAGTTTGTCATTCAGAAACCAGTAATATAAATATAACTTTTGAGTAGAATATTTCTTTAAAAAAGACAATTATTGCTTTGACTTTTTAAAAGTCAAAAATGTTTCATCAGAAATTTTTGCAGCAGGTTTTGCTAAATATGATAAGTATCATTTTATGTACATTTTGCACAATTTTCCAGCCAAAAAGTAATCTTACAACTTTTAATGTAATTTTTTTAAGTTATTTGGATTTTGCTTAAAAGGGAATTATGAGCAGAGCTGATATACTTCAGCAGTGCAGATTGCGAAATACTTGTGCAACTTTCAAATACTTCAGATCTAGCAGCCACCATATTTTAATGCATATATACATTGCAGGTTGCAAAGGAAGGAGATTTAGCTCTCTTGAAAAGTGAAATTGAAGATCTCAGAGATAATGTTGCTGAAGAAGAAGATATTAGTAAAGTGCTTGGTGTAACTGATGCACATCATTTGACTCCTCTTCACTATGCTGTCAAATATCAGCATGTGGATATTGTCAGAATCCTCTTGAGAAATGGAGCAGGTATGCTCGCAATTTATTCAACACACACCTTGCATTCATTGGTTTATTTTTATACAGACTGATAAAAATATAATACATTGCAAAAAACATCACTTGCAGAGAATTTCAAGGCAATTCTACTAGGACATACCAAACAGGGCTATTTCTACCCAAGGGCATTAAGAAAGAAGAAATTGTTTCTTGAATTTCATGCATACATACGGTGCATAGAGATAAGGTAGTGGCATTTGGCAAATCTTGGAATGATATTAAATCAACCAGTTTTATGGATAAACTGTAAAATGTCATTGATCTTTTTCACCATACAATAAATTTTCCTCATTAGAACCTGGCTTGAAAGATTTTGTATATCCAAATGGTGACAGTAGTGGATAGATTCTAGCAGAAGGTCATATCAAGTATTTTGGTTTTGTGAAATCAGTCTACAATTTAAAACTTTGTTTTATCATTTGGATAAAGCAATTTTTGATGTCAAATTTGAAGATATTTTTCCTGCATTTTTAAACAAGCAGCCTCAAAATGCCTGAAACTATTTTTAAATGATTATCTTTTGATATAAAGTTTTGATCTTCATGTTCAACAGATGTAAATGTAAAAGGTGAAAATGGAACAACTTGTCTTCACTTTGGTGCAAGATATTTTGACTTAGAGGATCCAAAAGCAGGTAAGTGGTTTTTAAGACAAGACACTCTCAATTTAAGGTTACCAGTTTTATATCATTTTTTCTTTTGCCGTGGTTTTATTTCTTATACTTGCAGCAAAATTCTGTATAGAGTGTTGGTATTAGGTGCTATACCAAAAATTCTCGAATTAGCCCCCTGGGGGCTTGTTTATTTTTGATATTTTTGGATGGTTGATCAGTTTGAGGATTTACGGCATAATAGGTTTTAATTACTTATTGATTAATGATACCTAAAGGCAAAGTGGAGGTTACTTGAAATGAAGTGGGCAGTCTTTATTCTTTGTTGCATTTTCAGTGAAACTAGAAATGGTGTTGACAAATATAATAGTTGATCTAATTAAATAATAAGATGAACTTTAATTAACATTTGACATAACATTTTATGTGCAAGTTTTTGCCAACATTACGTTTCTTGAGATGTGTTGATAGAAGATTAATTTTTCCATCTTTGTTAGGTGAAGAGATTCTTGACCTACTGCTGGCAGCTAAAGGTGTCAATGTCAATGCTGCAGATAATGACATGGCAACTCCGTTGCATTATGCTTGTCTTAAGAACAACTACAAAGCTGTCCGAAAGTTTCTAAATGCAAAAAACATCTATTTAGAGGTATAGTTAATTTAGTTCATTTAATACAAATCTGATTTCACATCACTCTCTGATTTTGCATTTTTCCATTTGCAATATTGTCTTTTCAATTTTTGCATCAATTTATTTGATTAATTTACAGTAGGTTTGGGCAGTATTGAAAAAGAATTGCAACTTTCCTTCTGATCTCAAATAAATTCATTTTTATTTTTCATTTCCATTTTTATTGCATTTTCTCAGATTACTTTTAAATGTTGGTTCAGGCTTTTGTGGGAAAAATAGAGCAGGCATGCTAAGCACCGCACACCTGAAAACATCCAGGCGTGTGGTGGCGTGTGACATTTTTTTGCAAAATTTTATTGTAATCATACTATTTCTAAGCAGAAATTGCCAAGACGACAATAATGACAGCAATAGATTTGATGAAAATTTCAAACAAACAAAATTTGATAAAAAATAGGTTTGATTAAAACTTTAATTTCAACAAAAAACATGTTTTTTGGAAGACTTCTTTCTGTAGGCAAGTTTCTACACGTGTATCTGGTACATATTTTTCATCGTCTTCTTTTGGACTCTTATTCTAACGTTTTACGATCTAAGGAGTGTTAGATGAAAAAGTTTTTAGTCAATATGTTATAAAATATTTGCTTTTTTCAAAGCCATTTTCATGAAATTATTTAATATATCAGCAAAAAACGGCACTACAAGTACAGACAAATGTTTGCCATGTCATGAGAAGTTTTCATCAGCTTCAATAACGAATCATTAGTAGAATCAAAGAGGGCTTTGCATTCATCTGGTTCATCTGGTTCAACAAAAGATCCACGTTAAGGATTCATTTTATATGTTTATCAGTGTTTCAAAGCACATCCCTCCACTTCCACAAGTTTGAACAACATTTCAAATTTCAGTCAAGAGATAGATGGGAATCGACACCATTACAAGCAGCTTGCTCTGTGGGCTCTATTGCTATTGTGAAACGGTTGCTGAAGAGCGGAGCACATGTGGATGTCATAAACGAAGCACACAATTGTCCCTTGCATCTTGCCTGCTCTGGTGGACACGAAGATGTAAGTTTTCATTTTTAACATCGCAATTTCACAGAATGACTCGCTCAGTAAAAATAACAACTACTTTTTTATGAATAAAGATCTGTCCATTTTTATTATCAATTTTATGATTTAGCCACCTTGCATTCACATAGAATTTTGTTTCGGTAAGAAAAATTATCACCACAAACCTCTATGTAAAGTATGTGTCTTAAAATTTCCAAAAAATCCTTATTTTGTCGTCCTTTTCTACAACCGCATCTTCTATGACGAGTGTTTTCTGAAACAACATATTGAATACATTAAGGCTAACGGCAAGGTAATATTTCTAGAGTTGATCATACACAACAGTCTTGGTAAATCCCCAAGTATGATTGATCATTTCAGATGCAAATTCGCCAATCTTTTGTCGAGTTCTCTTTTCTGTGATGTAGCAATGGCTAATTTGTTCTCATCGATTGAACATCGTTTACCAGGCTCTGCTTATGATCAGGTAATCATAGGTTCGAATTATTTGGTAACCTTTTTTTCATTCGAGGTTGTGATTGAGATTTTTGACCAAACCGAAAGACTTTATGGATACAGCTCCCTGTCAAAAATGATTTGTTCCCAAAACAGAGAAGGTCAAACCCCTTTGCACGTGGCTGTACTTGCAAGTCACTTTCATATCATCAAGATTCTATTGGAACGTGGTGCAAGTGTCAATCAAATAATGGCCGAAGGGGAAACTGCATTGCACATTGCGGCAGTGACTGGGCACTTGGCAATTACCCGGTTGCTGCTTTCGCATGAAGGGATGATTGATGCAAAGAACGACGAGGGCAGAACGCCTCTTCACAAAGCAGCTGCATTTGGAAAGTCCAATGTTGTAGAGCTGCTTCTTGAAAGGTGAGACGTTTGCGCACATCCGACTTTGCTTTGAGTTTCTTCGCAATCATTTATCAGCCTAGGCTAGTGGTAGATACTGACGCGTGAATCACAGAGCCAAATATAAAACAGGACGGGGAGGGGGGGTTGACATTTAAAGTATTACTGGTCATTAAAACAGAGCAAACAACTCTTTGTTGCTTTTTTCACCCTTGTTGCCCAGAAATATCAAGAAATGGGACTGTTTGTACTTTAGCTGAAAGGTAATGTTGCTCAACAGCTGCTTAGTGAGGTACTCTATATTTCTGTGTTTCTTGTATGCAATTTTATTTTCAAGTATTCTCTCGAAACCGTCATTACTGTGTTGAAAGATAATTTTTTCATGTCACCTTCAGTGTATATCAACAGGCAGAATTTACTGCCATGCGGTTAAATCTCTCCGTTAATGTACTTATTTTACTTGTTATTTGTTCCCTTGAAGCCTTGCTTCTCTTAGACACCTATACCATTAAATTTGTCATTTCGCTTGTGTTGATATACAATATTCGACATATGCAAAATGAAATCTTACTTAAAATTGTATTTCTAGAGGGGCCAGTGTAAACATTCAAGGACGGTTTAAAGTGACTGCCTTGATGCTTGCAGCTAGCTCAAACTATCCTTCAATTGTGGCCTTACTCTTGCACAAAGAAGCCAACATTGCAGGGAAGGACTTTGAAGGGAGGACGGCTTTGCACCTTGCAGCCGCGGGAAATTCAGTGGAAGCAATTAAGGTACTCTGTTTCAAGGCTATCGTTTGTATCTTAACTTAAAGCAACTTGGGTGGATGATTTCATTTCATTTTACAGTATTGAAAGACCAATCCCTTTTTACTTTAAAGTAATTGCAACACTAGACCCTTCAGGGCTGCTAAAAAACAGCTATTGAGAAAACTGGGATAAACGTTGATTTTTAATGTACAATCTGCTATTACAAAAAACGACACTTTAAAATAACATTTTGATGGTCATTGTTGCTCTTTAAGATATGAAGTTTGGTATGATGTTAAAAAATGACACTGGATGATAAATTTTTTTCAATTGCTAAAGCTGTTCCACAGCTACGCTCCTCTAATTATGAAGGACATCTAGAGAGTTTGGTCTTGAATAGAGGAATTTTTAGATCTGTGCTGCAGTTGCGATCTCTTTTTTTTTCTTACTGCTATTTAGGCTCTGTTCTTAAACGATTTCAAGACCTTGTTCTTATTAAACATTTGTATATTCCCAATGCCATTTTTGAAGATGGGATTAAAGATGGGACAAAATAGCAGACAATTTTTTCTTCTGACACACTTTAGAGTACTAACGTTGGATAGTGACCGAAAGTAAGCAGAAATCTTCAAATTCTGTGATACCAAAAGCATATCTTTTATCTATATTGTCCGTGTTCCCATTTCTGCTCCCCCCTCTATAGTGAATTGTTTAAACCATTGAGCTGCTCCATAATGATTTGCAAGCTTTTTGAGGAAGCATTTAATACATGGCAGCAAGGTATAATCTGCCCTCTTCAGTGATGCATAAGTTTTAACTAAATGATTATTCTAATGATGTTGGAAATTGTTGAAATGGCACTAATTTTGTTTTGCTACAAAGTATTAAACGCCCTGCAACCTTTTTTCAGGTTCTTCTTGAAGACAAACGTGCCTCGTCGATTTTGAACGAACAAGACAAAGATGGGAACACTGCCCTGCACATATCATGTGTGAAAGGTTTTGATGAAATCACGAAGATCCTCCTTTCAGCTAATGTTGACGTCACACCGAGAAACAACTTGGAACAAACTCCTGCCCACATGGCTGCGCTTTTCGGAAGATCAGAGTGAGTTGTTTAGCAGAGAGCGATATTTGGCTATTTGACTTGATGCAACATGGTGAAGTGATAAAGTCACCAAATCATTCTGGGGAAAAATGTCATTTGGGGGAAAGTCTGAATTTGAGCGAAATGATAAACGTGTGCTGGTTAAAATTCGTTTGTGTATCGAGCGGCCAGCCTCAGTTACATCTTGACAAGTGACACCTTCCCTCGATGCACTCAAACGGCCATCAAATGATGAAATCAATGTACTGAGCTAGAGCAAATGTTATCTTTGGTTTCGCTTCTTTTTCTTTGTCTAACTAACTAGAAATGATTGTGATTAAATATTATTACCACTATATTGTTCTTTGTTGAATCTGAAATTTTTTATGTGTGTTAATGTCACAAAATGAATTGAAAATAAAGAGAAGATATAATTTTTGGAATGGCCTAAAAGTTAAATCTTGTAATTTGCTAAGAATCATCATGTTTTGTCGAAACTTTTTGCGTAATTTATCGTATTTTTGTATTAACCCTTTATCTTGACTATGTAGTATGCAACCGTATTTGTTACTGATCATGTCTCTATTGTTGTTACCTCTTGCATTAAACAGCGTTGTGGAAGATCTTTTGGAAAAGGACGCCTCCACCATCAATGACATTGACAAACAGGGCAATGCCGCTCTGCACTTAGCTGCGGAAAAAGGGCACACAGGTACAATTAAGGTAATCATTCTAAGTGATTTAAGTTTCAGTAATTGGCTGCCTATTTTTTTTCTAAGAACGCTTTGCTTTTATCTCTTATTTCGCTCGCGCGTATATTTCCGATAAGAGAAAGTATCTAAGTTAGCTAGTATAGTACTGACTATGACGTCATCATCATTTAAATACCGCTGTTCTTTTGCATGAGTCTTGACTTAATACAAGTTGCAATAGACAGCCCTGCCTGTAAGGGAGCTTAAACAGATGATTCAAGTTTAAAAACAAACCATTTAATGAGTTTTATCTGTCATTTTTCTCAAGGTGCTTCTAAATGCTGGCGCATCTATCAACGACAGAAACACAGACCTTCTCACTCCTTTGGACTGCGCTGCGAGGGCGGGTCAGATGGACGCCGCCAAAACACTGTTAAATGCAAAAGCGTCAGTCGACCCGATGCATAAGCATGGAATGACGCCATTGTTACATGCCAGTATCCATGGGCACGGCAAAATGGTAGAGCTGCTTTTGCAAGTTTGTGATATATCACTCACAGATCGGAGTGGAAGAAATTGTTTGGACTTGGCCATTGATCACAATAGAAAGTACGTTTTATGCTGGATCACTCAATATGCCTGTGAATGTTTATCATTTTTAGCGATTAGACATTATCCTGCACTCGGATTTTTGAATAACTTTGCTTGTTCGTCATTGTAGATATTCTAAAACCATATGCAAGCAATCTTTGGTGGCAAAAGTTTTAAAAATGTCTTCGAATAATCATACATTTGAAGATATAGTATGACTTTTGTCTGGCGCTCTTCAGAGTTGAAATCGTCAGAATAGTAATCGTAAATGTCAATTTATATGAATGTCGAAAATATACTGATTTCTCATTTCTCCAGCTTGTAGATTCTAAACGTCTCTTTATCCTACAAAACACCTTTATCTACGATCAAGTGCCTCAAGATTCCAACCCTCAACCTCCTCCCCCAACATCCTCTGATCTATTTCTCTAATTATTTTTGAAATGCTAATGAAAAAGGTGAGCCGTAGCGTTCTGCTATATATTCATACAATCCGACATATTTTCAACATTTGTCTAAGCAGCTGTTTCAGAAAGATGGTATCCTACATACTCTCTCCGCCCTTTCTTATTTTGATTCATGGGTGCAAATTTCTCCCTTATTCTTCCTATCGAAAACGAGAAATCTGGTCAAGTCCTTTGGAACCTTTGAAACTGGTACCAAGTATCCCCAGTGGGGTGATTCATGATCATTAGAACCAAGGCAGCTTATCTCACTATTTATTAGATCTCACTATTTACAAATCGACTCGCTATTTATTGAATCTTCTCGTCGACGCCAACTCTTCCCTGTAAACGTTTTATGGAACACGTTTAGTCGTATAAATTATCCAAAACAATGAAAATTGCATCAGCTTTGGACAAATTCAGCAATGGACATTAGGCCACATAAAATGCAAGCATTAATTTCTTGCTTAAAGTTCTTCTCCTTTATTAAGATTGTTTTTATTTTGCACGGCTTCAGAGATGCAGCGATGGCCATATTAAGTCACAGAGACTGGAAAATGGCGATGAGGAACAAAACGATCGAAGAAAGGACCATTTCGACGCCGATGCGAAAGCTGATAAAAAAGTTGCCTGGTAACTGTTTGATGAATATGATTTGTGGCTTTGATTATAGTCTATTAAAAGACTCGAACGCTTTGATTTCCAGTAAGACTATTTGCACCTTGCCGAGGCTACATGAAAATTGCTGACTAGCTGTTTTGTGATTGAATGTCGCTAGGTACTTAATGTAGAACGTACTGTCCATTATGCTTCTCAATCAGTTATTTCAAATTGTGTTTTTAGTTAGCTAGATTCAAGATTTTAAGAATTATAGTTTCCTCTAGTTTAGAGATTCGGTTTTTGTTTTATTTTCAAGATAGCTTAAATTAATGATAAATGTTGCATCATTTTCACTTTCTGTTCAACATTTCTGAGCAAAACTACGTCTCTTCAAAGAAAATTTATCGAATGCTTAATAATTATGATAATAATTACTTAGGTTGGCGTTGTAAACGACTTGGCTAATAACAACCAACCACTGTTGATACAAAAACAATAATTAGATTGAAACACCAAATATTCCCTAGATTTTTTTTGATTGATGGAGGGACAAGTATTTTGGGAAATCCTGACATATTTCTTTTGAAACAAAGACCGGAACCAGGACTAAGCATGCCATTTTTCTTTGTCAGTTACTCGAAGGTACAATCACTTCCAAAAGTCTTGGAACACTAACGTCAGTTTTCAAAGGAAAATCCCCTTAAGAACGATGTTGATTTACTATAGAAAAAAGGAAGGGGTTGTAGAGTACACTTTTTCTTGTGGATTGTTGGATATTTTTCTATACTTTCAACATTGTTTTTTGGAGGAAAGGGGGGCGGAAGTGGTAGTATTCGGGAAAACAAATGAAAAATTGAAAAGGAAAGCGCAAAGTGTTGGGTGTTTCAAGTAATTTTGGCAGTGATTGTATGTATTGCGTGTGCTTTTGGGGGAATGGTAAATCACTCACAGTCAAACATGATTTTCTTGCAGAGGTGGGCTCCTTCGCATTGAACCGGTGTCTGCGACAAAGCGAATCCTTGCCGCCCGACCACCCCGATTACCACATTACCCTCGAATACGAATTCTTAGATGACGTATTCAACGACTGGCCCATGGATGCTGTCAGATTAGACAACGATGAAGGAAAGGGGCGTGGCGATTTGCTTACGAGGGAAGAAATCGCCAGGCAGCTCAGAAAGAAGAAAAATCATACTCTGTCCGTTATGGTATGTTTTTTTTCTTGTTTTTATCTCTTTGGATTATGTCTGATTTGGGTTATCTTGTTTCGATTGCCAATAGACTCATCAGAACACGTGAGGCTGCATTTTAATCACTTTGGCTTTTCTTTTTATTCGTTGGATTTCCTGCAATAAGAATCATCACATTGTTCTTTCATACTGAATATATTTTATTCTTCTTTTCTCAGCAAATAATTTTGTCTTTCACCTTTTGCAATGTATGGTTTTGGTATAGTTTATTTTTCACAACCGACGTAGCATCCTAATGCCAGGCAAAACGGTTGAACATCTTGTTGTTTCTTCGATCAAGAATCTTGATATCAGGAGTCTGTTTTATTTATTTATTGAAATGTTTGACCGTATTTTTCTCACTAAAATTTGCGTTATTTTCACTATACACATGGTATGAAATTTTCTGGGATGAGGTCATATTTACTTTCACCACTTAGTTGATATCTTCCAAACCATTAAGAGCCCATAGACAGGCAAAATATTGTTATTTAGACAGAACTGTTGACTATATAGACAGATGACTATTGCAATAGAAAAATATCGTATAGCGATATTAGCATGAATATCGAAACAGACATCTTAATCACCAGCATTGGCTATACCAAACGTCTAAATATTGAACTGACCCTGGTCACTTATACCTTGGGCCTCATCAACATGGCCACGTTTTCTGTGCTTTCCCCCTGCTTATTGCCATGCAGTTTCATAATGTTTTTTTCACTCACTGATTGAAAAAAGTCAACGTACTTATACTAATTAAGATCAAGAGACTAATTACTTGATAAAGAAATTACGAAAAAGGTATATATCAATGAATACGCCGTACCATAGCGATGCGAAAGCCTCGTTACAAAAGACTGCCGTTTAAAGTTTTCGCATTTTACTCATTCTGCAAACCACTGTTTTACTGCAATTCAGAATTATGACGTCATCTTGCTTTCTTTCAGGCTGAGAACAAGCGCGAAGAGTTACTTAGTCATCCGCTGGTCACCAATTTGCTGGCTTGGAAATGGAATCTATTTTCTGGACATTTATATTACTTAAAACTATTTTTATACTTTGTTTTCTTGTTTTTTCTCACTGGCTACGTTTTGCATACTGCACCGATGAGGCAGCCGTTTAGAAACGAAAATTGTCAAATCAACATGAATAAACTTAAGAACGATTTTTTTGACATCATCTTCATTAGAATTGGAACAGTTGTGATCGTTGGATTGGCACTTCTTCATCTCATTTTCGAGGTACGATGAGAGTTACATTTTTTCATTGTTTTTTGAAATTGTGATGTTTGCAATTATGTTTACAAATCTAAAAATAAATATGATATTCACATGTAATGATATTTACGCTATATAGTGTAGAGAACAGGACGGTTCTAAGTTGCTACTACGAATTTCAAAATATTTAAATAATTATTCATAAATTCAATTGGATAAGGAAAATTTGGGACTGCGTTTGTGAAAAATGACCTAAAGTTGTACAGTTCAGTGGTACATTTGTTAAATGGATACCTTAAGGATATCTCCATAAATACGGACAAATAGTTTTGCCTTAGAATTTCTTACCATCTCTGGGAAGAAACGTCGTACTAGTCCTACTGGGTTCCGCCTTCAAATGTCCTTCTATTATTTCTATGTAATAATTGGTCACTTGCCGCGCGAGTTGTGTCAGCAGACATTTTAAATTGACTCTGACCTAATGCTCAAAACAGTGTTTCCACTTTCCATAAATGAGATTTCCTTGTTTTTCTTATTTGTTGATCACGTCATCTTGGGTTACACTCGCTGGTTTCGTGTAAGTCATGATATCAATTAATCGACCTTCAGTGCAGCGTCCTGTTTCATACGCGATAATTGTTTTCTATCAGCTCAGGCCAAATAATCATCGCACCTCCACTCGTTTTTTAGCTTTTAACATTTGTTGGAGAGTCATCATGAATTGTATAATAAGAAAAACTGTAAACAGAATATTGCAATCTTAGTCAATTGTTCATTATCATTTTGTTTCTTCCTCTCCTTCAGCTCGTGCAATTAATTGCCCAGAAGTTGGATTACATATCCTTCGAAAATGCAATTGAAATCCTCGTTTATTTGCTGGCGATTGTCAATGTGTCCGATGACGTCATCAGCCTGCCTGTGACCCTTTCGTGAGTACTCTCCACCTTATACTGTGAACACTATGAATCGTAGTCTCTCTCTCTTTACGCTCTACTTTGATACTCTGACTTAATGCTTATACGACATCATTGGGTCATTACCACAAGATTTAGTTGAAAGACTTTGTGTATCTAATTACTTAGAATAGAGCATCTAGTTTCGATGTTTTCTTTTTCTTCCTCCTCTGTTTAAGTAGGCCATCTTCATTTCTTCCTCATTTCAGATGCACAGTATACCAACAGTCAATTGGTTCATACGCTGTGTTCCTTTCTTGGATTAACCTCATCCTGTTCCTGCGCAAGGTCCCAAAGTTTGGCATCTACATCGTGATGTTTGGATTCGTTGTCAACACTTTTCTAGAGTTCTTCCTGGTCTTTGTCCTGCTCATTGTGGCATTCGCCTTGGGTTTCTATATTTTATTTGCTGATGCACCTGATGTGAGTTTGCTAAGATATTTTATTAATTTATTTATATACATTTTTAGTTTGAGACTTCTTTAGCAAATAATAAAGCAATGTGGATGTATATAATCTATTTCAAAACTTTTTTTGAAGCTTTTCACCATGCATTTTCCAAATGTTGCTTGAAAATTGGTTAAAAAAGTCTTTCCCTTGAGATTTGTTATCCAGTGGCCCCTTGATTCTTGTATTTAGGGGGGTAAGTGCAGACGTTTTTTACAAAGGCTGATTGAAGATTTAAGGGTAGACTTGGGGTTCTTTTGGGTAGCTGTTTCCTTTATAATCTAGTCATTTCATGATTATTTCATGATTAGGTTATATCTTATTTTTATCTTTATTTATTGCGTTGCAGATTGGAACGTTTCAAACCCCTTGGAAGTCAATCGTAAAAACTTTGGTGATGATGTCCGGCGAACTTGACTTTGGCTCAATCTTCGATGGAAGCCAGAAACCTCCTCCAGCTGCATGGCCATTATTCCTGATGTTTGTTCTATTATTGACTATCATCCTTATGAATTTGCTGGTAAGGCGTTTGCATTATAAAATTTCAATGCGTTTCAATGTCATATTAGTAAAGGCTCTACAGACTACCTCTCTAAGTTCTTCGATTCCCGTCGCAGGATTATTGGCTGTACAAACGTTAATTTCCGTGTATAGTAAATTGACACAGTAATTAAAGCCTTTTTACAGAAGAAACTTAACGGTTAATTCTTTTCAAGCTGTCTTTCTTTATTTATGCACAGTGTTTAAGAACCTATTTTTGTCCTGAAAATCGTAAGACTTTTATGTGAAGGGTGTCTCTATTGTAAGAAATACCCTTGCCTTACTACCCTTGCCTTTTTGTCAAGTATCACCGACCAACCTCATCATTGAAATGCGCCTTTTAAATTATAATCTGTTCTAAGATCCTTTAAACCTACAATTACCATAATCAACTTTAGAACTAGACCCGTAAACAGTTTGAATCTTAAAAAAATTAAGCTTTTCTACTGACAACTTTGGATGGTAGAAAGATTTATTACTGTGTACTCATCTTTGAGAATGTTTTGCCGGCAACAATCTAATATGGTGATAGAATATTTTGTACAGTCTTCAGCATTCTCAAAATAGCCTCTACTTAAGCTTACATTGATAGTTTTCATCCTCAATAGAATTGGCTAAAGTATTTTTAGACTTAATTCACGTAGTGATTTAGGTAATAAATGTATGTTATATTAATAAGGAGCTTGACACTGATGCCAAACCATATGTGACAACAAAAAACATATAAATAGAATGCAATTCACGCTATAACCAATTTTATAGGAGAAAATTACAATTGATTCTTTGTTTCATTGATTTGAAAAAACATTGCTAGTTCGAAGAGGCATGGTACTCTTTACGTAATATCAAAATGAATACGAAAATGGCATTGAAAAAAGCAAACATTTTACAACATTTTGGCTAAAAGCTTTTTCGTCTGACTCTACTCAGAACACGATGAAAAGTATATATCCAGTTGTGGATCGAAATAGACCAATCAGAAAAATGCAAGCACAAGATCGGTATAGTTGTCCAATCAGTGCCGCGTGCCTAAAGAAAAACTACCAATGGAGTCCAAAATGAATACATTAAATTTGGAGATTTTAAATTTCAGGTTGGCTTGGCAGTTGACGACATTCAAGAAGTACAGAAGCAAGCTGTCCTCAACAGGATGAAGATGCAGGTGAGCCTGAAGTTATCCGTCTGTTTAAACATTCAAAGTCAGATTTAGAGGTCATGTACGTGTCCAGATGGGATGGTTTGGTTTACCAGAAATTAACCATATCTCAAAATAAGTCGTTGTTTGAAGGATGCCAGCTCTTCGTTGATGTCACTGATTATGTTTTGAGTTACCTGTCACTTTTAGTACGCATCAGAAAATTTAGCGTCATTTCAAAGAAAATTTTCCCGCTCGTGTTGACATTTTTTTCTGATTATTTTACAACGAAACAGAAAGGTACATTTAGTTCAAAACGGAAGCTATATCAATTAGCAGATGGTTTCGTGATTAAGAGATTCTTCGCAAACTTTCGACCTTTATTGGTTTTTTTCTTGTCATCATGGGGCGTTTAGTGGCAAATTTACATTACATGTTGGTTATTATATCCTCTTGCTGGTAAAGGGTCATTCTATATAAATACCTTCAAGGGGAATTCCAAATCAACGATCATTTCACGTGCTGTTGATAAATTCACGACTTTAAAAACCTTCCGTAGAACTCTTTTCGCTGTGCGTCTTCGACTGCATCTATAGACTGTCTCTCTTTTTCTAGACGTTCCCCAACTCCTTTTCCATATTTTCTCTTGAGATATCACTCCAGAATCTTCCCAAGCCTAGCCCCTATCGTCAGATATTTTTGCCTTAATGTTTCCCACTCTGGTTTGGTGTAGAAACACCAGTTTTCCAATTCGAAAACCGTCTCAAGAGTAAAAATCTTTGAGGAGAATAACAATTCTCTAAGTGCTTTTGAGAGGCCCAGCGTATGTCTTCCATAAGCTGTTTTTGCATTCTTCGTTCTTGTGAAATGTCTTTGCGTGCAAGCCAAGATGGCAAGAAAGGGAACTTTAGTATTAAAATCCTTTTCTTGGAAATATATCCTTTGAATGTTGTTGTTGTTGAATCTCTGGCCTAAGAAACTGCTCCGAATGAGTAAAAAAACAAAGGACCGATCATACGCGCTATTTTTCTTCTCACGCTACTTTCGATCCGCATCTTGATATAGATTTTCTGCTTTTATTTGAACATTATTTGACTTTTAAACTCTCACGAGTGTCGAACAAAAAGCACTTTAGTATCTGTTTCGGCTCTTCCGTGCTATTTCAAATTTTGCTAGCATTGTAGCTCAAGTGTCACATTGTCCTTTTTAGATCGATTTGATGCTTGATACAGAGAAATCTCTGCCAGGCTCTCTGAGAAGAAAGTGCATTGCCAAAGATCAAATTGTCTACCCAAACAGAGGGAGGCGCTGGTTTTCCCAACTGAAACAGAGTGATAATTTCATGAAAGCACTCAATGAAGCACTTAAGTCTGAAAAGGTTTGTATTTTTTAGTGTTTCTTTTCTCATACCACTATACCAATATGTAACCATGATGTTCCGACGCGAAGGAAGTCGTCAGATCCCTTTTATTAATAGCCCTTTACTAGCAACCAATCAGGTAACATAAAACAGTAAACAAACGTGAAAAATGGCCACTTTCAGTCGCTTTTAGTGCTTCCAATAGGTGTGTTTGTTCAGCGAATCAAATATTTTGTAACATGCATTTTGCCTTCATTTACACTTTATAGTGATATTTTGGTGTAGTTTGTAATTTGATGGAATTAGTTTTTACCATTCTGTCATAATGTGCTTGACGCCGTATAGGCAGATCTGTACACGCTATCTGGTGTATAGAACAGAACGCTTCCATGTTGCTACTGCGAGTTTCGTGCTCAATGCAGTCATCAGGCAACTAATTTGATTTATATTACGTAGGTCTACAATCCTGGACCAAAATGTTGAGACAAAATGCAATTTTTGCAATTTTCTACTTTACCTTGCCCCTGTTAATTCGAATCCCCCCTTTTCCCCCAGGTTTTGTAGTATCATTTCTCCTTCAAGATCATGCATTCAACATTAAATTGGGGGAGAGGGGAAGTATAAGCTTTCCTTGAAAAGTCTTAACCTTTTTTGTCCGGGATTTTAGCTTTGAGAAGATGCATTGTTATTAGTAGGGGATGAAAGTGTAAAAATGTCTGTTTTGAGCTTGTTAGGCATATCAGGGCAGACCACTGATTTTGAATATCTCCCCTGCCTTCTGTGTCCCTTTACAGTGATTAAGCACTTAGTATACTTCAATTTTTTAATTTAAATCATTTAGTATCATTTCATGAATTTACTGGCACCAAACCAAATCTATCAAAATATTTCATAAGTTTTACATTTTTATTATAGATTTCTTCAGTTTCTCAATTTTTTCTTAACGTCGGTCTGTCTTTTCTTTGCTTCCCTCAAGTATGTTTTGAAATATTCTCATACCACTCGCCAAGCAGCTCTTTGTTATTGTTTCAGGAATTAGCTAAAACCTTAAATGTTTCTTTAGTCCAAAAGCTACTTATGACCGCAACATACATGCTTTAAATTTTTCAAACGCGTGATCTAAGCTCAATTTCTCAATCTAAAATCGCGCACGGTGTGATGACGTCATTGATCAGAATCTGCTCTACGGTGAGATAAGAAAGAAAATCCATGCTTCTTTCCAGTGAAACAAGGCTTCAACCTGGAGTTGGGGGTGGGGGCATTTTTGAGTGCATAAACAACTCACATGATCATCTCACATGAACAACTTCAGGCCGGTCTGAAACCCAGATCGGCTTGAAATTTGATGGTTAGTGCTAATTTGAATCCCGGTCACATGAATATTTTCAAACCGGCTTCAAAAAGCCCCACGTTGTTGCACATGGGCATTTATTGCGAATTCAAATCAAAACAAATATGGCGCCAAATATTTCGCGAAAAATTTTGATTTTGAATTAGGTATTGAACTCTGTTTGGGTTGTGAGATTCCGGGCTTTTAGAACTTCATTTAATTTTGCTTCATCAACTGTTACCTGAAGTAAAGAATCTTCATCAGGATCGTTATTAGAATGAAGAAAAATCTCGTGCTATTCCACTTTGTATCCTAGAGCGCAATTTATTTTTTCACGAGTTTTATTTCTGCTTGGATTTCAAGTCGATCTGCAATTTCAAATCGATCTGAACAACCAAACGAATTCTGGTCCACCTGAGTTTCATTTCGCCCACTCTCGTGTGAGCACTTCAAGGACTGAGACCGCTGACTCAGATGAATTACAGGCCAATCTAACTTTCATTGTCCCCTCTTTGTCACTCTTGCTTGTACTGTTTGTATTCCTTCTTTCCATTTCAATATTTCCAATGCCTCCGTTCTACCCTTTTTTTGTCTCCCTTTTTTATTTTCTCTTCTTTGATTTTAAAAATACTTTTTTCTTCCTTGCAACCATCCTTTTGCTTTTGTCATTCTTTTTTTTAAATTCTTCTTTTATTTTTCTTTTCCATATTTTCATTTGTCTTCCGTATTCTTCTCCTTCCTTTTCGTCTTCCATTCCTTTTTTCTTCATCCGTTTTTATTTTCTTCTCCTTTTATTTTTCTTTCTTTAAAGTCTCTTTTACCATTACAATGTTGACATTGCTTTTTTGCAGACCATTTTGGAGGAGCTAAAGCTTCAGACGATAGAACTTGAATCGAAAAGTGTATCTATGGAAAAGAAGATTGTCAAAATTGGTGAGCAGTTTGACAAGTTTGATAGAATGGAAGATCAGCTTAGTGAACTTAAAGGTATGATTCTTGATTTACAAAAGAAAGAATAAATAAACTACAATATGTTCTGATAGACTCTAATATGTTCTGATAGAAGAACTGTAGATTTCTAATTGGTCGTTTTCCATGAGAGCAGATTAACCGTCCCAAATTTTCAGAACAGCCATCATTCGAATACTTCCCGCGTTCTTCTCGCGTGTTCTCGTACGTAGACCCTAGATTTTTCTCCATGGCTTTTGCTGATAAATATTACTTTAATTGTATTAAAGATCACATTAAGTGTTTTGGTTAGGCTTGCTCGAGGCAGTTTGCCTGCATCGCTTTAAATATTCAGTTTTATGATTTACGAATTATGAACTATAAAAGAATTTATGAGAATATGGATTAAATTTGTTCAACTGGTTTCTAGATATTGGATTTAACGTTTCAAAGCAAATACCAGGGAGTCTTTTCTCCTTTTCTGATCGCAAGTTTAAAAAAGATTAAGTCTAATATTCAGTCTTCTGTTTAAAATTTTCAGTTTAAGATAAAGATTTTATATATTGTATTGGCTGTTAAATTTGGCACTTTTAAAGTTGTAATAGATTTAAGGGCAATCAGAGCGATTTAACCTAGATCCTGTGTGTGTGAATACATTTTCAAATGAACAGGCAGATTGTTTATGGGTGTTTTAATATGCCACCTACACGACAACAATGAATCTTTGAATAGTTTGTAAACACAACGTTTCCCTGTAGACTCAATAGTTCTTTCGTATGACCCATTCTTTTGAAAACGTACAAATGGATGTTGTATGTTTTGCTAACTCGCTTTTTACTTAAAATTTTAACTTAAATAATTGGATTTCGATAAATCAAATGCGAGCTAACTTTTTGTATTAATGATTATTCAAATAGTTGCTTTAATATTTTTAAATCCTATTTGATTGACTGATTAAAATATAATGTAAAATGCTGCATATTTAACGAGATGCCTTTTTCTCACCTTCACTGCTAAATTCAAAAATAAATTCAAGATTCTAAACATTTAAGGCTAAATTCATGCACTTTAAAAGAAACCTTGGAATACCATTAAAATAAAACTAAAAAGTAAGCAATCGATAAAAAAGAGTGTTGCAGCAAAAGATATTGTTGTAGGCTTCACTTCTATTCACTCCCTCGCACTTATGTGATGCCTCTCCTAAAGCTTAGTTTTTGGGTGCGCCACTGCCTAGCAAGGATTATTCTTCGTAGCGTTTATGAACAGTAGACCTTTTGTATATATAACAATGCAAATTCTGGTTTCATGACACCTAACCCGGATTACAGGCAAACCTTTTTTGTAAGACGCCTCCCATTGTGTAATCTCCTTCGTAGTCACTGGTAATTCCTCTCAATCCAACGGAAATCTTTGCGCTACCTCATCACACTGATGTCAACTCGATTAAGTCAGATTGCACATATACATAAACAATATCCTCCATCAATCTTAATATTGCACCGCTTGATATCTGACGAAAATGAATGATAGGAAATCCAACGTGTTTTATCCTTCGTTTTTTTATGAAAAATACAAAACACGAAGTCAATCACGCTGTTAAATCATAATAGAAAATCTGTTTTTAACTTGTGCCATCACCTTGGCAACCATCTTGATCGGCAAAATGAATTGACCACGAACCCTGGCTCAAACTGTAGAAGAATAGAATAGATAAGGTGAACAACTTTATCGTGAAAATTATTTCAGTTAGTTCCGATCATCTTTGTCTTGATATGTATAAAATGAGACATGCTTATCAAAGCATAACTAGTTCTGATGGTCATAGCAAACAAGGACAATTACAATTTTTCGCTGACATGTAACGAAAGAACGTTCGCGTAATCTGAAAAGGCAGTTTGAGTTCAAGTTTTATAATTCAGTTATTTCATTTTGTGGCAAATTTAAAAATAGAAATTATCATAAAATAGAACCCCTGTGATTCCTTTTTCTTTATTCAAGGAGGTCATATGAACCCCTTGGATATGAACCTAGAGTAGCCTGAGATTATCAAGATATTCTTCAATCCAAATTTCCACGTTGAACTTTGTTTGGTCGATGGAAAGTAATTCGAAGTATTGTTGCATCAAACGAAATTTCTATCGTCTTTTTAGTACTATAATAATCATACTAAGCATGAACTTCATGAATCATCATCAGGCATTAAAATCACAAGTGATCATCAATCATAATCACCTGCATCGATCATCATCGTCAATATCAGTCATCATTAATCACAAATCAATACAATCATCACCATCATTGTGTAAGTTGAAGCCGCTTAAAGGCGCAATCAAGATGCTTCGCAGTTGCTGTTCAATTTACTAAGTATTAGTCCGGTTTTGAAAATATATTCGCAAAGCATGCCGGTTGCACAAGAGCCTGCAAATCGAAAGCCTCTATTTAAAAGTGAAATTTAGGCCCTTTTTTCTTTTTCTTTGGGCTGTTTTTCACTGTTAGCTTTAAGTGTAAGCTATGCATTGCCTAACTCCTAGAGATATTGCTAGTTTTTTATGATAATACTGTTTGCAAAGTTTTCTGTATTTTGCATGGTTACTCCGTGTAGTTGCTGGTAGATATATTTAATGAACCCCATTGATAAAGCAACGGGTCATCCTTCTGTGCGATTGGCCACGTATATGTCTCGCGTGCCCAACGCTACTTTCTTTAACTAAGCTGCTTTCGTCACAAGCTGAAAGATGTAATTCGAACACATTTGTAAAGCACGCACGGTAGCGTGATGTGTGATTTTGAATCCGATACACGTTTCAACCCTTCAACCTAGGAGCAGTAATGTTTTTTTCAAGCGCCTTGAAGTTAATGCTAAAAAAGCCAGATTCGCTGCTGTAACATTGGATCCTTCCGAAGATAGGTACCGACAACTTTAACAGTATTTCACTGAAAAGAAGCTTTCGGGAATAGCACTAAGCAGCTTATTTCTCCATTTAAGATTGGCGAATCAATGAAGAAGCGTTTAGCATTCGAAATTATCTATCAATACCTTTCTGATGCGTTTAAGCGTCAGTTGAAATTTTAAGTTGCAATGATTTGTTGTTTTGCCGTTTCACGACGTGCTAGGGTACAATCATTTACGATCTGAAGCAATCCTTGTTTACTAACCTTGAGTTTTATACCAGGGCGGTAGTAGAGAGAGCAAGGGGCCTGTCCCTAAATATTCTAGGGGGTCCCCAAAGGAAAATTTTGCAGATCAAGGAATGAATATTCTTAGTGTATACAGTGCAGATGTACTGAGTTCGAAAATGAGCGCATGTTGCCTCTTAACCCTCTCTCCCGTGACTGCGTTGGTTTCTACATGTTTGGAAATTATTCCTGTGCATTATTTTTAAGATCGTAATGCGTTATGATAAAATTTATCCCCCCCCTCCCCAATATCAAAATCTTAACTACCCTTATGTATACTTTATGAGTAAATGCCGTTACGCAGCCCCTTACTTTGCTGACAACACACGGGAAGCCTTGGAATGCCGAGAGCTTTTCTGGGGCCAGGGGAAAAAGAAAGATGGCGCCCGTTATGACAAGTGTGATTGTCATTGTTCTTGTTATTGTTGGGCACTTTGATATAAAATTTAGGCCTCTCTCAGCTCGGGGCCTTTGGGCAGTCTGCCCCCTGACCTCCCTTTTCGGCTTGGGGAAACCTACCTTTTTCCTGCTGTTTTTAACCCTGTGACAGGTTTTGCCTTAAGCTTGTCGAATAGTTTTTTTCTTCCTATGTCATATCTTAAAGCAATTACAAGGTTCAAACTTGTGCGTACTAAGGTGTTTCAACCACCATAATTGATAGTGTCATTGAAAAAGTTCTGTTTCTCAATGAATTGGGTGCATGACTAAGATTTTGGCTTTAACGGTTTCTGAAGCAATCATGTTAAGAAATGACATTGCACAATCTCTGTATTTATACAGCAAAATTTGAATGAAAATATCTTGTTGCTTTGCAACGGGTGATGCAAAGGAAGGAGAAATTCGCTTGTTTGCCCACCTTGCGTGAAATTTTGTACTTTGCTCATTAATTTTTCATCTGTTACACCAAAGTTGGCCTAATTCTGTCCTTCTGTTTACAGCCTCAAACAGGTTTCGTTCACGTGGCTCGAACCATGCTCATTAAATACGTGACTTGAGCTTACGCTTAAAATTCAAACGATGTTCTATAAGCAGTTTACTAGGTCGCGCATTTTTTGAGTGGAATTTAGGAGTTCTGACCTGAACATTATTTTGCATAGCAGGCGGAACTTTCTTATGGGATTGACCCGACGGAGTATTCTTTAGCTAACTACAAAACTGGATTATTAGCTTTTTTGATAAACTGGGGCATGGGGGAGGGAGGGGGAGGATCATGGAAAAGGAAATATAGCAAACATAGCAATTTATTTTGTTTTCCTCTTCAGATACATATAGAACACTCGGAATAGAGAAATAAGAGATAATTCATTTGTGTTAAATACAAAATTACAAGCATTGAATGATTATACCAAAATAATACAATATTTAAATCATAAAATGGTTATACCATAACTGGATCGATGCTCTAATTATTTCGACTTTCATATTTTACGTCAATGATAATGTGGTAGGTTACGAGAATAAAATATTGGACAGCTAAACAAACATAATAAAGTTACACAACAAAGGTGAGAGTACAGGGACGTCCTAAATGGAGCTATCATTTCTGTATTATACACAATGTACACATCTGCATTTATATAATAAATATTTATCAACAAACGATCTAAAAGATCGGTCCAAAACGGTTTTGGATGTCAGGTGCAAATACCCCATTGGCGTTCATATTTCCTGGACTTGGCTGAAAAAATGATAATAGTTCTTAGAAACGATTTTGATCTCCAGTAAAATCGAGGAAGGAACTTATTGATGTGGAATCAAAAATTATTCTGAAGCTTGCTGGATGGCTGTGTTAAAAAATCTTTTTTTACACATAGCTGCTAAGCCAATGTAATCACGAGATCGCCAAAGTTTATGTGATGTTGTGATGGAAAAAGAAACGAACAGACCCTCAAATGCCACGTATTTCTCCATCCATTCTACTTTACTAAGTAGACGGAGCTTTCCATACAACTAAGAGCATACTTAAATACTAATCGATAAATACAATTAGTTATTAACCCCAGTCGTAAGCTTTGCCTTTCGTTAACACCATACAAAGTAGCAACATTTGTCCCACGGTAGGATTTTTGATGCTCGATGAAGAATTTTTCACTGGTGAAATAACATCATAAAGAGGGACGTTGGTCATGCACGAATGCAAGGTTTGCTTCACCTCTGCAATAGGTATGAGTTTGCAGGTTATTGCAAGCAGATCAGATGCCTCGTCACACCAGATGCCTCGTCACACCAGATCTTTAATTATTATCCTAAGGTCAGGCAAATCTTTCTTGCTCGTTGCTCCAAGTTCGATTGCTAACAAAACGAGTATTCGATCATCAAGAAAATCGGTGTCATTGTTCCCAAGGATGCATTCGCTTGCCACTTGTTGCTTTTCCACAATACAGTTCCAAGAATTTGTGACCCTGAAGGCCTGAGGACGAGTTTGGGGGTAAGCCGCCTGCGTATACGGGTAGAAATGGACAAACTGCCTCTGCAAAGGATGTATCTGTCCTTGGTTGGCCATGTGAAAAGACATCGTTTTCTTTGTTTCAACAATAAACTTGCTAAATAAGAGCCTCGAGTCTACTATACACCTCGCGACTCCTTTTTACCTTGCACTTGTCAAAAAATTCTGTTATATCAGCTCTCTTCTCTGAATCTAACCACTTAATTGCTTGTTTCCAACTTGTGGGCTAAATCTCCTTTTTGTGTTTTAAAGCAAGCCAAGCTATTCCTTCGCTAAAACTGGTTTTTCCAGAATTTCCAATCGGCTAGGAACAAGATATTGATTATTGTTTTACACTGTCCCTTCGATTGACAGTATACAAACCTTCGCTCAAGCAACGATTTTGCGTTCTGTTCTTTTCCCACAAAAGGAGCAAGTACTTGATGCACTCAATCAGCTTCAATGAAAGTGAAAGAAAACTCTTAGAAATCCGTCCAATAAATTATAATCTCTAGATTTAATTATCCATAGATTCCATTGTTATGAACCAATACTCTGCTCCCTGCTACTGTTGCCATTCAAAAAGCTTTATTGTTTCCAAAAGTTTCGAACGCCACAGACTACACAAAACTGATTCCAACTTATCTCAACGCACATGTGTTTCAACTGGCAACGTCTGCACATATGAAAAACAGTATGCTTTTAACACTGAACACTGGCTTCTACAGATCGCGTAGAAAAAGACGACGAATTATTTACGCAATCCAGTGACGTAAAGGCTCGTATTAAACATAGCTCTGTTGGTCCTGCCCTGCGGATTGACGTGAGTGAATCTGACCGTAACTCTCGGCTTTCAGCGATTATTATACTGTTTGCCACCTGTATTCTATTCACAATGAGACGGGAGGTTGTGAGTAACGCGCTTAATAAATACATCCGATTGCCCATATACGATTTATTTGCACAGGTTATTCTCGTATTAATCAACCGGAGTAATGATAGCAAACTTTTCACGAATTTAAAAGAGTTTCATGTTCTGTTGGTTCGTATTACACTCAGACATCCATCCGTTAAAATGAGGTGGAGATGTTTTTCTTGCAATGTCCATTCATTACACTCTTTTTGTTATAAGAACAATTTTTTAAGAACACGAGCCTCAAAACTGGTCAAAAGTTAAGAACTAAATTAAGAACAAGCTGAGGCTGAGCTTCTGCAAAATGCAATTTTGTACAAAGTTTTTTCTCAAAATCGAGGATTTTTAGCGATGTGTGGGTGTTTTTTTCGGTGAATATTCAAATTTGTCAGCAAATTAAGGCTGTCTCACTCACTTTGTTGGCAAATGAGGCCTGAGCACCTCCTTAGAGCGAAAAAGCTACCAATAGCACTGCTTACACCCTCTTAATTTAAAAACAAATTAAGAACAGTCAGCCTGAACTTAAATTTACTGGTTCTTATAAAAAAAAGAGTGTGACACATTTGTTTACGCATTAAAATTGCATTCATCAATTGATAGAATGATCTATGTCTCAATAAATTTCACCTTAATTCTAAGCAATACTTTTTGTTGTTCATTTCTTCTGCGTCACGAACTTTTTCATTCCAAATTGTATTTTAGGTAAAAGTTTTCTCGTCGAATCGCATTCGTTCTTTCATTCACAGTTTATTGTGCAAAATCTAATATTAAACACCCAATTAGAATAGGCCATAAAGTTAACTACTAAGGCAACAGTTGCAAAAATCCGCTCATTTCTTTGAGCTACCCATTTATATAAACGCCCTTGTAGTGTCAAAAATATTCGATAACACCCCTTGCCCTTTTTGTAATCCTTGAGACTGTTTGCAATGAAATATTAAAAAAAATTTGAAATACCAAAAATGTTTCAAAATTTTTGGCATTGAAATTCGCTTTTTTCCATCAGTTGACATGTTTCAATTTCATTTTTTCGTTTTGTTTATTCCGAATTTCATGTCTGTTTGGTTAGTGATACAATGTTTTGATATATTCTTGATGCTGCCACCATGCTTGTGATACTCCGTAATGCCTTTTCTTTTGGGAGTTTTCTTTTGGATCTTCTCTTTTTAGATGTCATATTTCATTTTCCTCATAAAATTTCTTTGTGAAAAAAATACATTGGTGAAATCATAAAAATACATACATGTACTCTCCACGCGAGTATAAGCAAAGGAGAACCGTGACGAAATTGTAATTTGGGCTTATAATTTATAATGACGTAAGCATTTATAATTTGGGGCACGAATTGTTGAAGGGCACTTATCATGGTCATGGTACCAATAAGATCTTGCAAAAAGGCACTGTGAAAGTAAAAGTCAACCTAGGAGAAGGGGGCACAGGACGCCTCAGCACGCGAGTAAACCTCACTCAAAGAAACGCGGGTATTCCCAAAAAAAGTGGAGCCAAGAGAAAAGTTAATGATGAATAAAAGGCTAGCTTCGTAGGCAAATTAATTTAAAACTCGCTCGCGCAGTGGTTTTAGGTTTAAACTTTCTAAACTCGTTTAGGATCCAAGTGCTGTTTTTTTAATTTTTTGAAATTTTGATGCCAAAGCCTCTACATGTAGCCTAAACTTGGCTGTCTAAAGCAAAGACCGAGACACAACTTTTGTTTGTGTGGGGGAGTAGCCCTGATAAATGAATGCAACTAGCCATTTCTACCATATAAAAGCATTTTATTCATGCCACTATATTTTTTGGGGTGGCCAAGCCCCCGGCCCCTCCTCTGTATCTCGGTCTTTGATCTGAAGCCCCGTTTTAGCCTAAGCATGTGCTTATTTCTATGCATGTTTGTACCCATAACATTAGAGCTGGTTCAAGGAGCGTTCATTATCAGTTCATTTTCAAACGCCCAAACCCTACTCCCGAACTAGGTTTTGAAAATCTATCCCGTGTTTAACCGAGCAGAAAAAGGTCTTGTGCAAAGACCATACCACTTTCTAGAAAGGCACTTCTTCCTTTGCATCCAAAAAATGAACTAAATTGTACGTCATTAGTAGATAAACACGCCTTTTGTTCCACTAGAAATTTTGTTCCACCGAACCCTAACATGACGACCAAAAAATCAAGAAACCGCTTGAAGCTCAATCTTTATCAGATAGGATTGCAGTAATTCTTTCGACATTAAGGCAGCTATTTTCAATGTTCCATTGACATTGATAGTAGAAAAAGAACTACTTGCGTTTTCATGTCAATCTTACATTGCATTTTTTTATCAGGGATATGTACTACTCTATGTATTCTGCACTTGGTATTCAAGAGACCTTAAGAATCATCCAGCAACAAAACCAACAAGCAGAGTAGGTATTATTGTGAAGCAAAGTTTCTTTTAAATATGGAATGCTTGAGTCGCCCTCAGGTGTAACTGAAACATAGGAGGTGTTTTTGTAAAATTTTGCATGCTTATTCTCAAAAACAAGTCCATTGTTACCAAAGTTTTTCCTGGTCATTTTGAGGTTTTTCATTTATTCATCCTTGTTTGTCATTATGAGATAATAGTGTTAAGCTTGTTGGTTGAACAGATAAAAACTGGTTCTATTGCGACAGCTATTTGTGACTCACCCTAGATACCGGTTGATTGCTTTTTTGAAAACATACGTAAATTTTCAACCATGGTGACGTTGTATATTTTGAACTACTGCATACAAGTAACGGCGTTGTTTTTACTAATCCAAACCTGTCTGTCACATCTCAAGCATAGCTGGGGTCATTCACATCATGATTGCTAGATACCTACCTATCATATGTAAGCAACAGAATATTAAACCGTGGTGTATTTGAAGTAAAAAATCAAACACAAGATCGTTTTCGAGTTTTGTATATCTGACAGTGCCTAGACATGATGCCACAGGCGTTATCTGAATGTCTAGGCACTGCCAGACTGTGGTTATCTATTAGCGAAGTTCTACTTCCAATACCGTTAATAAATGTATTTGGGTGATTAACATGTAACACTGAATGCTGACTTAACTAAAAGTGTCTTATTTATTTGTTGAGTTCCACACGTGTTGTCTTTGAGTCGTATCGGAGTCTCAGGGTTGCTGCAAGTACACTTTGAATCACCGATAAGTGTATTCAGCGATATACTGGATCATGCAAAAAAACGAAAAAATACGCTGACACCCCCTGTTGTAAGTCATTGTTCTCTTGCAACGGTTTCCAACGATTTCACTGTCACGCTTTGAAATATCTGAACTTTTCTTAATGATTATTAAGTAGTGTTCGTATCAAGGTTTTGCCAAGGGCCCTGAACTCTTCCAAGCAACCCGCATTCTCTTTCAGTTGTCGTTGGTTGCCATGCACACCCCATAGGCAGACCACGTGAGAATTTCCCATTCCATTTTTCCGGGCAAAGTGGAGTTACTCAGTTGTTGGCAACACAGGGCTTAGTCTATTCCATGGAGAATCGAAGGGCTACCCGAATCTCCAATATCTACCGCTATAAATTCAGAAAATTTTTGCAAACTTGCTTCCCCTTTTACACTCTATACTAAATTCCCCCAGCCTTTGTTGCGATCACTTTTTCTAATATTACTTTACGCTCACGCTCATTTAAGGTTTTACGTACGAATAAATTTCGTTTTGATCGCCAATCAATCGTTTATATCCTTATATTCACTCTTTTTATTTGGTAATTGTACGTTGCTGGTTACAAATCAATATATGATTTAAAGTCAAACAATTAAACCAATTCTAAATTAACAAATAGTGGCTCTTCTTAGAAGTCAGAAATTTACTTTTATTCATATATATATTTGCAATTAGCTTCGTTCATAAACTTTTTTGCTACCGATAACTTATTCAGATCCCTTGATTTGAGAAATAGTGTTTCCTTTAAAAAATCTTGTCAAGGTGAAAGCATCAACTATGGTGAAAGATAGCAACTATGATAAGTTGTACCAGTCCATACAGAGAGGTGAAGTGCTCTCGAGTTTCCCCCCTGAAGGCTGTGAAATGCTACAAAAGTCTTTTCGTGTCAATTTTTAAAATTTAGCTAAGCCTGTAGAGAGTCGCTGTGCTATGCTGCAAAATTTACAGAGTGTGCAGAATAAAGGGGAGTCAGATGGATGGATATATGCAGTGAATGAAAATAATAATTCCCCTTTCTCTGGAATTGATTACACCTCAAAACCCTCTTAACCCTGACAAATAATATAATTTAATCCTTTTTCATTGTATTTTGCATTTTATATTTAACATAAGAATTGACAATTCCCAAAGAAAAGCCCCTAATTTTGTGAAATTGATACGTATTCGTCTATTTCAAACGTATTAATGATTATTTTTATTGCTTCAACTAAATTTGAGAAAAGTGATATAAAATCCTTATACATTGACCGAGAAAACAGGGTTAATGGCCGCTTTTTTTACGTATTTATGCCCTTACTGAGGATGAATTTTACAGTTCTCTGTCAGACATATCATAACACGTTCGTGATTTTTAAACGGCAGCGGAATTTATATACCGATCTTCGCAAAGTGAATAATATTGCGAATCGACAGGAGTCACGAAACTTAAAGCAAATTGATGGTAACCTTGACATTAAGAATTCACCTTCAAATCATATTCATCAAAACGCCATAGCCTCGCGATTTACTGCTAAAAGAAAATCCCATTTTTCCAAGATGCAACCCATTATCTGATGTTTAGTTTGTTGAGAATAGCGTGTAGCAACGGGAGGCGTGTTTTCAAGAAGAGGAGGTTTTCTGTTGCATTCGCGTCACCTTAGTTACCGAAATGCCAAATGACTCTTTTTAACCATAACGAATAAAGAAAATAATGAAAATTGTTAGCGTAAGTCTCTTGGTGTG